GGAACCACCGCCTTGCGCTGTGGCTTGACCTGGGTGTCCACCAGCGTCTCCTGGATGGCTTTCCGCTTCTCCAGGAGTTGTTTGTGTTCGTCAACGTTGAGCATGCCGAGTTTAATGGAGAGCCACTTTAAAGTGCCCCACCACTTCTGGAGCTTCGCCGGGGTGACCTCCAACGTGACCGCCTGGTTCATGAGGTGCCGGACGTCGCCGGCCGTCCAGGGGAGGTTCTGGAAGCCGATCTTGCGCATGCCCTCATAGGCCAAGCAGTGTGCCCGGATGGTACGGAACCGGGCATCACCAAAGAGGTGGCCAAACTCCTCCAGCTCCCTGGCCCCCATCACCTGGTGCATGTAGGGGATCTGGTGCCGGAAGGGGATGAAGTATCCCAGGAGGCGTTCCAACCACCTGGCCCTCAAGTGTTGTTCCAACGCTCTCTGAGATGTCGGCAATTGGGTTTTGATCTTCCCTGGTTTCCAATGCCGCCACTTGTTGGCCACTGCCAGGACATCCGGGGCCTCAATCGATCCGGAAAGGATCCACTCTTCGCGGTCCCGGATGGCCTGTTCCATTTCCAGTGGAGAATAGGTGTGCGATTGCCTGGCGCCTGCCGCACGAAACAGAAGTTGTTGCAGGGTCTTAGTAGCGAGCTCCAAATCCGCCTCCTCCAGCGGTTGTGGTTGGGAGCCGAGTATCCTCGCGAGGATCAAGTTGTAGGTGTCCGAGGCCACCAGGACGTGGTTGCCGTCAGGTGCCAGCCCCACGATCCGTGTCCACGGCCGCGGGTCAAAGACCACCGCATCCGGGTTGGCGACCTTGTCCTTTTTGACCCATTCCAGGCAGCACGCCACGAGGATTTCCCCGTCCGACTGCACTGGTGCAAATCCAAGGTCATGCAAAATCAAACGGAGCGCGGTTGCGCCCCTAGGAAGGTCGTCCCAAACGGGGAAGGGAGGCGGGGCCTCCACATCATCATGATCCACTCGAGCCGGGGGCCTAGTCCCTAGGTGCAAACCCCAACCAAACAACAGGGGGCCCCCCAAAACCCCGGAAAGTCAACCCCGAAACGGAGGAAACGGGGGAAAAAAGGGGGACCCAGGGAAAGGGAAAACCAAACAAGAGAGGGGAACTCCCTGGTGCAAGTCTGGGCTCATGTTCCCTGGGCCCAGCGCCTCCCCCCCCCGGGGTGCGCTGCGCATCCGTTCCGGATGGCCGCGGTCCTGGATGGTGTGCCGGAAGATGGCGTTGTCCCGCATCATCACGCGGCCCCCTTCGCGATGTCATCGATGCGCTTGAGCGCAGCAGCCTCCGGATTCCGCAGAATCAGCTCCCAGATGGCATTGGAGACGTGGCCTGTCTGGGTGGTCTGGCTGAATCTGAACCTGGGCACCTTCTGGTCCACGATGGAGACGTCCCGCAACGGGGCCGAGGGCTCCACCCGGCGGTAGTACTCCAGCCGCTCCTTCACCCAGCGGTTGTAGAGGCCCTCCGGCGGCTCGTCCAACACCAGCTGCAAGATGGCCTTGCCGGCCCGGATCTGGAGGAGGCGGGTGCCCCCTCCCCCGGCACGCCAGTACCCCTTACAATACTTGCACATGTAGCCCCCCCGGGTCTCCCCTTTTGTCTTCGGGATGAGTTCCCACGGGGTGACGGAGCTCAGGACCAGGCCACACTCCATGTGCGCCCAGAAGACATGCTTCATCTCCACCGGATAGTTCTTCTTCCGGTAGTCCTTACCCACCACGCCGTGGACGTTGTCCGCCGTGATGGGGGGGTAAACGATCCCCTCATCGCCCTCGCCTCCCCTGGGGCGGATGTCAGGGCCATCGGCACCTGTCCGGCACCCAGGGGCGGAGGGGTCCAGGCCCATCAGCTTGATCATGTCGTTGGTGTAGCCGAGCTTGCGGTAGATGGAGGGGGCCACTGAGTCGGGGACTGCGCCGACCCACCACTGCTTCGTGTTGCAGCGCCAGTTGACCTTCACCTCCGCCAGGGCCCCCGGGCCTCCAATGCGGTCCATGAGGGCCTTGTACACCTCTGGGAACTGCTGGAGGCTCTCCACCGGGACCGAGATGCGCTCGTCGCATACCGCCCGCAGGATCATCTGCTCCTTGGAGTCCGCCACGTCCTGGACCGGGAGCTGCATCACCTCCGCCGGGGTGTCCGTGAGGAAGGCCCGGGCCGCGAGGACCTTGCCCATGGCCCGGTAGACCAATCGCCACTCCGGTCCTGTCTGCGGAAACGGAAGGCCCTCCTCCTTCAGGAAGCACCGCGCGTCCTCCTTCAGGGTCTCCCAGCCCTCCAGGCGGGTCTGATTCTGGGCCTTGTTTTTCGGGCCCCGCTGCCTAGGGCCCTGCAGCAGTGGCAGAGACTCCCAGACTCCCCAGAGCTGGCGCAGGGTGTAGCTGTGCCCGAACATCCCCAGTAGGCCTGGGAGTGTCCAGGACGAGATCTGGCGCGTCCAGTGGAAGTCCTCATCCGGATCGTGGGGGGCAGCCCAAAAGATGGATCGCAGGTCCCCAGGGTAGGGTCGGTCCCCCGCCTTCGCCTGCTGGTTCAACTCATCAACGGAGTACCTGGCCCAGGGGAGTCCACCCACCTGGTGGTTCCTGGGATGCGTACCCTTCTCCAACGCCTCCGGATTCACCTTGGTGAGGTTTTTCGCCCAATCCGGGACGTGTACCGGGCCCGGTCGTCGGACCCAGCGGCCCGCAAAGATACGGACCTCTCCGACCCGTTTGCTCATCATCCAGCGCAGGACCGAGAGCTGCACCTCCGGGTCCTTGGTGTCCAGGCCCACCGGGGTGGCGGACGGCTTGTCAGGGCCCTCGGCACCTGAGCTCGTCACGCCAGAGCCCGAGGCTGGGGGGATGGTGGGCGGCCTGTCAGGGCCCTCGGCACCTGGGCGCACCAGAGCCCCCCGCCCTGTCAGGTCCGGCAGATCTGACAGGAGGGCCGCCGGGAAGGGATTCCTACCCAGCGAGATGACCGCCTTGGCCTCAAGAGTCCGTGAGGGATGTGAGGTCGTCCATACTGAAGTCCCTCCATGCCGTTGTCGGCTCGAAGACCCCAGTCTCAATGGCGACCCGGACCTCACTAGGCCACGCACTGAAGGGAGGGGGATGGGCTCGAGCATTCTGGTTTCGAGGGAGCCCTTCGCCTGTCTGGCTTGGTGTTTCGCTTTCGCCTCCTCCGCAGTGGTCTGGGCCTGGAGGAGCTCCGGTGTGGGTCTCCCCCAGTCCGCACCCAGCTTGTCCAGCAGCTTCTCACGGAAGAGGTCCAAGTCCAGGTTCTTCAGGAGCAGGCCTCCATCACCTCCTCCGTCAATGGCCCCCCCTTGAAGTTCGTGGAGGACCGCCGCGGAGCGCTCCACCGCTTCCACCTGGTCCGCCTTCTTGGCCTCCTCCTGGGCGATGGTGGTGGCGTTGAGCCGGGTCTGAATCTTGAAGGCCTTCACCGCAGACGGGTGGAAGGCTCTGCATTCCTGGCCCTCTTCCTTGTCGCCTGGCAATGGGGGCCTCTCCCCCGGTGGGGCCGTCAGAAACTCCTCGTCCAGCTCCATGGGGCAGTTCCTGATCACCGCCCGGACCGAGGAGGGGACGAAGTCCGAGAAGCTGGCCTGGTCCGGGTTCTCGCAGGCCATCGGGTCGGTGGCCAGCTCGCTGACGTCCACCGAGGCACTGAGCTTGAGGTCGCGGGCCCGGTCCGTGTCAGGGCCTTCGGCACCCGCGGACCGGGCCGCCGTCCAGACCGCATTGCCCTGGTCATCCACCGTCAACTGCCAATGCGTGCCCGCCATCTCCAGGGTGGCCGAGTTGGTCGCCGTGTCAATGGGCTCCGTCTTCTTGCCGCACCCCATGCACTTCGTGGCGCCCTTCTTCACCCAGGGCATGGTGCAGCAGGGGCAGATCCAGGATGTGGGCACCTTGCCCAGGCGGTTCTCCAGGCCCCCGTACCCCAAGCCAGCGCGCTTGCCAACCTGCTGTCCCGGGGTGCTGAGCCGGGCCTCATGCTCGTACTTCATCTTGGCGATGTAGAAGGCCTCCACAACGCGCTCCAGGCCCCCCTGCTTGAGTTGGGGGCCCTCAAAGCCTCGCAGGAGCCGCTGGACGTCCTTGGCCTGCAGTCGGCGGAGCCTAGTGGCCGTGGTCGCATCGAAGCAAGGGAAGTCGCCCGCCATCTGGTCGTCGCTGAACTGGTAGAGGCCCTCCGAGACCTTGAGGGCCTTGGTGAACACGCTCCCCCCCGGCGGGGGGGCTGCGGGGTTCTCATCCTCCTCCGAGGACGCCTGCTCCTTGACCTTCGCCATCAGCTCCCGGCGCCTCTGCCACTTGGCGTCTGCCCGGGCATCCAGGCGGGCCTCCTCCAAGCGGGCTGCAGCCGAGGGGGACCTGGGCATCGGCAGCTCCTTCTCGTCCTTCGCCAGGAGCTCCTCCATGGGCACGTCCTCCTCCGGCGGGTTCAGGAGCTCCAGGAACGCCCCTGGGGGGCGTGTCAGGGCCTTCGGCACCTGCGCCACCCCAGGGGCTGCATCTTCCATCGGCTCATCCTCTGCCTTGCGCTTGGCCGGGATAAGGGGGGCCTGCTCCAGCTCATCTGCGCTGGAGAAGAAACGCTCGTCAGGTGCCTGAGGGACCTCAGCAGCCAAAACGGTCCATCCTTCTTCCTCCCTCTTCACGAGGCTCGCCAGGTACTTTGCCATGGAGGCCTTTGCCTTAGCCTTGGCCTCTGCTACCGCGGCACCAGCGTAGGCGGGGGCGTACATGGCTTTGAGAGTAGGGGAAAGAAAGATTTCAAATCACAAGACAAAAGATCAAAAGGTCCACTTGAGCCAAAATGGTGGCCCAAGTGGATACTTATTAAGAGTCAAGACAAGCGACCACCTACGGTTAACGCTTTAGCCCAGAGTCTTTTTCCAGGGACCCTTCCCCTTCCGCCCCTCCGCCCCTCCGCCCTTCCGCCCTTCCGCCCTTCCGCCCCGGGGCCCCCAGCCGGGATCTGCCCTACGCTCTCGATGGAGAAGATGAAGTGGTTCTTGGCCTTGCCAAGCACCAGGCCCTTCTCCTGGCACTTCGTGGCATGTGGTACCAGCAAACGAGCAAATGAGCAAATGAGCGAACAGCAAACGAACAATGCGTTTCATCAAACACGTTTGTCGACATTCCTGGGCTGAGTTGCCCGCTGAAAGGTGCAAGGCCGCTGCCACCCAAAGTTCATGCATCTCATTCATGCCGAATCCCCCTGGCAACTAGTTCGTCAAACCGGTTTCGACAAATCAGGCAGGCTTCCCAGCGGGGTGGTTGCAGAAAATGGTCAAGTGCCGGTGAAAGAGAACCAATGGAAACCCGCCCACATTCCAAACAGCTCTTGCGGGAGCTGTGTTGATACCCCGAACTTGTCGGCCCTTCGGGACCTCAGGCAACTGTCTCATGCTCGCAAGATTCGCTTGCAAAAGTCAGGGAGCCGCCAGACATCGGCTCATGCAGCCGGTGCTCCCGTTTGCTTGAATCCAGGGTGCTTGAAAAAACAACAACAACTATATCAACTATGCCTCCACCACTCTTCTCATTGCGAACCCTTCGGCTGTTCCAAAGAAGTGCGCCACAAAACAAACAAAAAAACGGAGCCTGAGCCACACGCAACGCCTCTCGGCCGCTCTCGGGCGCTCCTGCCCCGGAAAGCTCTCCAGGCACTCGCGGCAGGTGGTGCAGGCCCGCGCATTCCTCGGACAGGCCACGGCATCCAAGGGGCCCAAAAACAGGCGGTGCAGGAAAATCGCCCGCATGGAAAACACGAGCATGCCACGTCCAAATCACCCCGTTGGCAAGTAGAAATAAGTAGAAATAATTGAAGTTGTGCTCTAGGGTGGTCAAATGTGAGTTGTTCTATGGGTTGTTTTTTCTTGCTCGCCAAGACGTAAAATGTGTGCTTTGTCTTCGCTGGGCATGGCTTGTGTGGGTGGCTTGGAACTGGATGTGCATGTTCAGGATCATCATTCTACGACCAAGTTTCCACAGGCTTGCACCATTAACTTTCTAGGCATTTCACTCCATGACCATTAGTTGATTCCTGCTAAAGGTTAAACTCTTAGTGGGATATGACAAGAACCCCTTTAGACTCAAGAAAAAACAGGGTCTAGGGGATGGCTGGGCGCCAAGTACCCTGCGGTTGCCACGAGTGCAAAGTGTCCACTTCATGTATGAAGCACACTTACCCAAATCGAGTTTGAAGGAGGCACCACCCAATGAGAGCACAAACGGTACAAGCAAAACCCAAGGTCGTCCAATGAGCCATTCCAAAATGAGGAATGCGACACCGGCCGTTTGCCCTTGCGTCTTTTTCTCATTGTGAAGCCTCTGGTGGACATGGGGATTTATGTCCACCAGCCATTCTCAAGGGGGGCTATAAAAATTCCATGGGGCGCCCAAACATGGTTGGCTCCCTTGGATTCTTTAACCCAAACCCACCAAAGAAACCCTCGCACGTGGCGCGGGGACGCCGCTGTAGCCAGAGGTGTCCTTCCGGAAAAATCGTTGGTGAACGACAAAACCGAAATATGTGGCTAAAACTGCCCAAAAACGAACTGACCTCAAAGCAAATCAATATGTTCTCTTTCTGCTTTCTGCTCCCCAACTTTCTGTGGTTTAATGAAAACCCACTAGTTGGCAAAAAGTTAAAGTCCTAAGATCCAAGCAAAATGCACGAAAGTTCAAGCAAACTGACCCAATCCATCTGGGTCGCAGACCGGACCACCGCCCGCTTCCCCAACTTGGGCACGTCCTCCACGTCGAAGACGCCCACTGGGCAACACCTGAAAAGCATCATCCGTTTCCCAAAAGGAATCTGCGGTTTCTTAATGGTTGCCGGGTTCCTCATCCAAAACACCACTTGCTTTGCAAGAATGATTCAGAAAACCATCAACTAAATGTCAAAAGTATGTGTTTTGCCTGAGGACAGGGGAAGATCAGGGATCTGTCCCCTGTGAACCTCTGGTTCTTGCAGATGAATGGGAAACTCCAAACCACCAAACCAAACCACCCACCAAGAAATGGCTACTGCGGCGGTCCTTCAATCCCTGATATCCAATTTGCTTTGATGTTAGAAAACTCAGAACAGGTTCCCTCATCTTGTCGTCTTGCCCCTATGCCGCAACAAGCCATGAAGCATCTTGCAACATGCCAGATCCCAGAAACTTGGCAACCAAGAAGTGATGTCGTTCGTCTCCAAATGCCAGAACCTTCAAACTTTGGTCTCTGCCAAAAAAACGAGAAGAAAACCCGGCGACTTTCCCAAAGCGACCTGGCTACGTGAAGATAGCACTGCCCCCACCGCCTCACCTTTTCAGGTCCTCGGCATCCTGCCCCAAGATGTCACGCTCGAGGCCTCGAGACGCGTCGCGTGCCCTCGGTATGACATGGCTACGTGTGAGAACCTGCCAGCTTTGTTTGGTGGACCCAGCGTTCCGGGCAACGCAAAAGGGCGAAACACAGCGCCGGCGCTTCCTGTTCCTCCAAAGGGCCATGGGCTCAAACACTGTGCTTGGTTGACAGGAAATTTGCAATGACTTAATTCTATGTCTGCGTGCAGAGACGCATCTAAAGCTCACAGTCGAACCCACCGACGAACCCACAGAGGTGCCTCCCTTCACAAAAAACGGCCACTAGTCTCCCCCCAGCCCAACCCCAAAGACTCACTTTCGTGATGGACCAGACTGGAAGCTGGCTTTCGTGAAATAGGAAAACCAATTGTGGTCGCCTCTCCCTAGAACCGGGCAAAATTCGCCAGACTGAATCTTCGTTGTGACCAACCCGTTCGCTGGGCAAGCTGGCAAAATGGCCTCCAGGAATCCAAAGCTAAACAAGCACTGGGCCCAATGTCTCTGAACAACCCTTAGATTCGTTGCGCACATTTGCAAGAGCCACGCTTCACGCTTAGCTCTCAAACACTTCTAGGTCCCCAGGTCACAGTTCATGTTAGTGGATGGGAAGATGATCCTTTCATGCCAATCATGTCGTGTCCCAATTACTCAAAGCCAAATGCGCACGAGTGTCACTGCTCTGCCCGGGCTAAAGCTAGCAAAAGAAGGGGCCTGTCTCTTCTCACCTTGAGTTGGATTCGTGGAAATCGGTGGATAGAAACCTTTGATTTGCGCCTTATCCGAAATTTTAGGCCACTCCAGACCTCCACCAAGCCAGCAACCACCTTCTGCGCGGGAAAGGAAGGCCCCCAAGGAAATTGAACACAAAACAGGCACCAAAGCTCCACATCCGGATCCGTGGCTCTTACATCCGCCTGCTTTTTGAAACCAGAGGTGAAAATGGATGTCAATCAACTGGATTGGGATTGGAAAAGCAGGGCCCCCCTGAAATCCTAACAATGACATGACGGAACGGCTGGCATCTCTTCGCAGATTTCTTGGGACGGGGCGGATGTCCGGATGCAGCTTGTAGAAAGCAGTGCAAACCGGCGACCACTTCGCATGTTCCTGGCACCAGGCAATTACTCCCCTGCCATTGCCGTGTCAAATGAATTGGATATATTTTGGCAACCAGTGTCAAATGACAATCATGAAACCAACCATTCGGAGAGGCTCCTTGTTGTCAAGAGTGGACCGGGTGAATGTGCTTCTGCACCAGCCTGACTAAGGCCCGACCCTCACAGTCCTCATGGTTACTAGTTTGCAATATCATATTTTGTCGTTGGAGTGATGTTCCCTTTGGAAAATGTTGGGAACCCTGTCGACCCTGCCAGCGGAGTCCGTCGTGCGATCCAACCTTGAGCCTAAAGGTCAATGACCAACGGCCAGGCAAAATCCAGCAAACATGCCCGGACCTCGGCCCTCACCCTCTACCAGAAACTACATTTCTAGCCCATAAATGGGTATGAACCAAGATGAAGGGTAGCCACACAAAAAACAAAAACAAAAAAAACAAGCACCCACACGGAATCTTGAGCTGTTTCGCCAAAGGTGATCAGCTACACGTTGCCCGGTCCTTGCCGACGCCGCGCTCGCCTGGACAAGCCAAAGGCCGGCAAATGTTGCGACAAAGCCTCCAGACCTGGGGAAAGCTAGCAGCCAACCGGGCTAAACAAAGTATGTCTTCTGGTCGTCCGTGCTTCATATGGCAAGGAAGTGGGGCCTTGACGGGCCAGTTTGAGCCCTGGGGATTTGAATACGAGGGGGGAGTGCCAGAGGTGCTGGCTTTCATTGGAAGTGCAAGGCCCTCCCAAACATTTGACCACCGCACCGAACCTCTACATGCCTGGGATTGGATCTTGGCCCAACTGTGTCTTCAACAATTTTGCACCACTTGGCCCCCCCACTCGATTTTTCAGGTCACTTGCAGCCCAGTCGCAGTAACAGTCGCATTCGATCTCTTGTCCTGCCAACAGAGCGAGCGAATGGAGCGCAGCCGTGGAGCATGCGTCGAATACTCGAATTCGGAGGAAGCGTCCACGAGAAAGTAACAACAACCGGGCGGAGCATTTGGCCTGGTGAATGTTGCTGAGGAGAATCTCTCCGACGGATAGTTGGAAAGACCACTGGGCCAAGAAACTCTGATCTAACAAGGAAGCCCAAAAAAGGGCAACATAAATCCCGAAATTCCTCGAAGTCGGCGGGTTCAAGTGTCCATGTAAATCTTCAGGAGTATCCCCTAGGCAGAGCCAAATTGGATGCATCCGGCGCCCGTAGATCCTGGGGAATGTACCAGTACCTAACCACTGCTGGTAAACCAAAAGAAATGCTGGTTTCTCCTTGCGGGCGTCCATGGAAATCTGGTTGAGGCCCGAATTGACCATGGACTGATCTGTTGACTGATCCCAATATCTGATGCCCGTTTTGAGGGCGCCCTTTCTTTGGCAAAAGGGAAACCAAGAGTCAACCACCCACGGAGGGTGTCGACCATCTCGAGACAAACCCTTTTCACTTCCGTTTCACGCAACCTTAGGGGCACCCGAAAAAAAAACTGCCACCGGGGCCCTTGCGGCCAAGGGTGCTCCCGCCTGGCCCGAGCTGCGCCAGCAAAATGTCGCCATCCACCAGCTGGGGCGGCTTGGCCTCGCGCAAGAGTTTGGAGTCATGTGTGGGTCAAAGCCAATGGGATCCTATTTTGGGGTAGGTGAATTCACAACCCATTTCAGGTTTCGTGGGGACGATGTTCACTCTGGGATAACCGGGCTTTTGACGCCAGTATCAAACAGAGACTCGTCCAAGTAGCTCTCTCGTCGTGGACATGGCGGCATGATGTGGCCTGCTTCCACGGAGGGGCCTCCGTCTGGGTCCAATGTTTCAGCCTGTCATCTTATGTTCCGAGCTCTGGGGAGCAGCCCGTACATGTATTGTTGTACATATATGTATGTATCTACCTGCACATGTTTCATACGTTGATGCAAAGCCGGCGAAGTGTCTGTGATGTTAAATCGCAAGGCAACCCCTTACAGCGTAACCAAAAGCAAAAGTACCAAAAGAATCGTCACCGACATCCACGGTCGGGAATCATGCTCGAGCGGAAAGCCGTCTATATTGCGGGTAACCTGCCATTTGTGCCAGGGTCAAAACTCCTCACATGGTCATGGCTTCCAGCAGAAGCGCCCGGCCCTTCCACCTTGCTCAAGATGGAAGTCAACAATCAACAGCTTCACTACCCCCCTAGAAGTGAAAACCCGACAGTTGGTTGCTGCACCATCTCCGGCTCCAGTGACGCAACTCACTTTGACCGGTATGGGTTAAGGCCATTTTCGGGGAACCCTTACGATGTCTAAACTCTTTTTTCAGGGGGTACTGAGGTTTAGTGAGCTGGTGATGGCACACCATTTGCCCCTGATGAAAGCCTGCCCTATTGGCCATCTTTAACCCCTCTACTGATCTCTGTTTTTGGTTGGAATTGAGCTCTGAGCTGCAATTGCCCAGACTTTGGTCAAAGTTGGTTGGTCGTTTGCCAACTGCTTACTGGTCCAAACTGAGGGACGCCAAAGCAATGTTCTAACCAAAGGTGTCTTGATCGTTGTTTAACGCAACTGGGAGCACAAACTGAAACTTCAGATTGCCTGAAGCGCGGTGAGCTGGTCTGCCGAGAGCTCCTTCCATCCTCGGAAGCGAGGGGGTGTCACTCTATGGCTACATTTGGTCTAAAGTATCCCACGAACCCCATTCTAACGACTTAGGCCCTCATACCCGTTCACCCGTTCACCCGTTCACCCGTTCACCCGTTCAGGAGTTCGCTTCACAGCAGACCATGGCGCAGAATGCCAGAAGGCCCGCGAGCTGCTGGAACAGTGGATGCTCAAACAGGTTCAGACAAAGCGTCGGCCACACCGGACGAACCCCATTCTGCCTCGGATCAAAGATCAGCAAGGTGAGAGCCGAAGGAAAGCGCTTGAATTCCGGACAACCTCCCCGCTGCATCTAGTTATCAGCTGGGACGGTCCGAACAGCAAGCGGGCTTATGAGCCCACATGTCCTGAACTCGCCTTGCAAGGGCGTGGGTCCCAGTCCACAGTCAGAAAAAGCTGACCGTATTTCACCCGATTCCACCCGCGATTACGGAGACCGCCCCTAGCCCAAACCGCCGCCCCGCCCGGGGACCCAGCGCAGATCGCGGGAGTACACCGAGACCTTCTTTTGGCCTACGTGGCATGCTCTCCGAAGCGCAAAAGTGGGCAGAAATTGCTTGTGACCCTCATGATAGCAAAGGAACCCGCCATGGACGGTGACTTGTCTAAGCAGTGGCTGCCAACCCTGCATGCCAGAAATTCAGCTGGCAAAATCGCCACATGCAGCATGGTCCGCGGCTTACCTTCGATTCTGATTTGATTTCGATCTCCCCGGCAAATCCATCAAATTCCAGTTGCCAAGTTTGCCGACTGGCGTTTGATCGGAAACCGGAGGTGCCGAGCACAACTCCCTGAAGATCAAGGCTCCAAGTGCCAACCCAGAGGCTCGTTCTCCAATTGGTGCTTCCTCATGGAAGCATTCAAAAACACTGCCACCAAATGGGTCTGCTTTCTTGAGGGGCCCCCCTTTTTGCCTGGCTCCCGGGAAACCAAAAGGAAAACCCACACACATTTAGACGTTCTTGACACCACTGAGTTCGACATCTGCAACCTGCAACCTGCCCGGACGAGGGCTCATCGCCATGAGATGCCGAAACCATCTGCCCAAGAACCATTCAGAGGCTGTGGGTCAGAAATAGGTACCCAAAATGGAACCCTGGCAACATGGCAACACTGGTGGTTTAACTGTGACGAGGTAGCTTCCCAGGTGCAAAAAGTCCTTGGGTCATTGGTCCTGAGCCCTAGCCCAAGGCTGGGCTGCACACAACCGCATCCCTGAGACGTTTGGTGATCATTTCATGCTGATGGGTAATACACCAATGAAACTTTGGACCCGATGACTCTGTCATGCAAAGTGGACGTTAAATGTGATATCTTTGCCCAGGTGCGTCATGTGTTTGAGCCTGCATCTAACAGGCGCACACGCACACGCACGGAGACACACACACACACACAGAGAGTACGATCAGTGGGAGTGGGCACCTGGGTTTGAGAAAGTTTGGTTCCCACTCCGCGCTTGTTCGCTCCCTGCCGGCTCCCTCCACGCCTTGCGGGCACTTAGCATGGAGCTGGAACATAATGCTGTCCTGACCGGGCCCGGCCGCCAGTGGGAGAAGTACATGGGTATGGCTAAAGAATGAAAAAAGCTAGGGTTACGCAGATGTGTGTTTTTCCATTTACCGACAAGGCGGTTCCTCTACGTGCAAGTTTGAATAGGAACCAACTCAAATAGATCCTTTGGGGATGATCTGCAAATGACATCGGAATGAACCCCTCCTGAAGATTCCCTGTTTGTGACGCGCTAGCTTCACCTGGTGTTGTCCAACAGGGCCTTCAAGCAAACGCACCAGCAAGCTCAGGACTGCTTCCGTCTGCTCAAGATGCTGCCAACACAAAGGCAATACTTACCAACTAAAAGCCATCTCCTCCAACAGGGAAAGCAGATCTTGGAAGGAAAAAACAACAATTGAACAAATGGAAGACCGGCATCTTCCTTGACGCTCACTCATCTGTTCGTGCGATGCATGTTGAGGGCCCCTCAAACCCTGATGCTCCCCAGCCTCAGAGAACTCCCGCTACCATTGCTAACTTTCGTGATCTGTTCGATACACCGAGCGCCCAATACCCACAGTTGCGTGGTGAAGCTGACGGGGATTCCTCTTGGGACAATGACCCCAAGCCTCTGACTTTGTGAAGCTTCGAATCCACCCCGGGCCTTCTCCGTGAAGTCCGCGTCCGAGGTTTTGACCCTGCCGGCCAGGGATCCGAAGCCCTTTGGCTCGCCGATTTGTGGTGCACAAAGGATCCGCGGAAAAATGCCTTTTCCGGGGGGGGGGAGGGGAGGGGGGGGCGCTGATTGAATAAACAAGTTTGGCTGATACATGTTGGTGAGCATTGGACACTCCTAGTTTTGAGGCCCTCAACATCTGTGAAACGCGTCCAAAGTCTGTGGAAACGCGTCCAAATTTGGGACCTCGGGATTTCTTCCTTTTTTTTAAGGAAGCAAGGATGCCTGCGCATGCTGGTGCTCTTGCGTCACCAAACTGGAGGGATCCATTCCTGGTTTGATGCCTGTCCTGGTCGTTTTTCCCAGCTCACCATGGATGTCCTGCGGCCATTTCTCCCCGTTTCCACACCGAACACTTGACCTCGTCTCCTCTTCCTCCCCCTTCTCTCCACCTGAAAGAATTTAGATGAATTTCGCCACCGAATGGCACTACTTCGCCCAGTTACTCCCCTGCAACAGAAACGAAGGATGCCGAAAAAAGCAGCGTTCCGCACGGCAACCCCCCCCCCCCACCACTCAGTGGGGCTCCGGGCTCCAGGAGGTTCGGCTCAAACTTGATGGGCACCAGACCCAGCCTCCAAACCCCAAAGAACCCAAAGGGTGGGATGGTGGCGCTGCGCTGGGGCTGGGAAACCCGTCACCTGAATCACCCATCCTGGCCTGACCAACTTTTTTCGACCACTCCAGTATGTTTGACCAACTCGACCACTCCAGATAGTATGTTGCTTGTCCCTGGTTGAGATTTGAGCCGTGCCCCCCTATTTCCCCCCTACAAAGGCTCGAAGAAACCCGGAAGTTCAGGACTTATTTGGGGGAGAAAGCGGCGGGGCCCTAATATTCAGGTGGCGTCTTTAGTGGGGGTACCCCCACCTTGGCCGGTTTTACAACAAATGATAGCATGTGTCGAGAAAAAACAAATGCAAGAATGCGCATGGCTTCAAGGCGAGGTGAGCGTGTGCAGGCAGTGGGCCCCCAGTTTCGGTGAGCGGCATGGTGCTCGGACACCAAAGGGAAACCAGGTTGGCGGCACACCCAAATGGAGTGGGGAAAACTTCGGAAGTACTCTAATGAATCTGTTGCAAAGGGTGGATTCCACAACATGGGTTCTAAAAGGGAGCCTGTCGCTGTCAGTTCGAGCCTGTGCGCCAGGTTCTCATCGTGGATCACGGAAGTGTTCTGGTAGATGGTCACCCGGCTAATGGCCACCTCGGACGGGCTTCCTGGCGCTGACCTCCTTCTGTAACTTTCCTGGATTTATGGAATTCGCAAATTCCCAGCGTTTCTGTTGAATTCCTGAAAGTCCTTGATGTGTTGTTCGCAGTGGCATGTTCGACTACCCATGAATAGTCCAAAAATAATAGAAGCAGTTCCCTAGCCACGTCAGAATGCATTGAATCTAGGGGGACTGTTGTTGGAGCAGCGGATACAAGCAAACAAACCTGGTTGCAACATGTGTACCTCGCTGGCAGGGTGGTACAAGCACATGCTGCTTCTTTAGCTTCTGAGGGACAAGGCCGGGCGAGTATCCGATCCTTGCAGGACGGGGTCATCCTGTGGTTTGAACATGGGATCGAAACACTGGATGATGATTCCCTTGCTGACTTGTGCTTGACAAACCTGGAAACATATGTCCTTTTTGGGAAAACAGATGGCCCTGGTAGTTGATTGAACCACCAGGCAAACCAGGGCCCTCTATTTTTCAACCGAATCAACCAAAAAGGACACCTATGCCTGGAAATAGAAGCTGGAGCTCTGGGACTCTGCCTGAAAACCGCTTGAAACCCAAAACTGGCCGCCCAAAAAATCCGACGCTCGACGTCCGCAGCTCTGTGGGCTCGGCAGTGGGCACTTCGGCGATGAGGATCCGCCTCGCGTAGAGAGGGACGCCTCCTTTGAGTTGGTACCCTATCTCAATGATGTCACGTAATTCCATACAATGCAATCCCAAGGTGCAATACACAAACCCTCAGAAAACCAGCTTGTATGCTGCGGAGCAATAAGCTTGGACCATACTTGTCTAAGTAAAACATGTTGCTGGAAGTGCGCGCCTCCTGGGGAATGAAAACGGATCAAAGAGCGGGGTTTGCCGGGGCTAGAAAAACATTACATTTCTCAGGATCTCCGCAGGGGAGATCCCAAAGACCCCGATGAATGTCTGGTATCCTTTGAGTGTCCCTATGAAACATCCCCAAAAAATACCAGCAAAAAAATGTGTCTTGCCAGCTTGCTGAGAAGACCGATCTTAGCAAAGCTGAAGCCCCTTGCTCCATAGGCAGATCGCCTCCTGTGGGACTCTGGCAATATGTTGTGCCACGTGTCGGAATCCAAAAAGGCTCGCCATTGGTGTGGACAACCTGACATGTGTGATTGGTAAACACCACATACGTCTAGGGGTACCTTCCCCATGCATTCCAGGCATCATTCTTTCCAAAAAACCACCGAGAACCCTGGAGAAACAGCTGGTTTTTGGAAAGAACGATGGTTGAAAAGAATGGGGATCAACCCCTAGAACACTGATGGAAACACCACATACTCTAATGTTTGCAGCAAACCAATCAGGAACCAAGACGCGTCCATCCCCAAAATCCGAAGGCGCCTGAAGGCGTTGGCCAAGGGAGGGTCGATGCCGATCATGTCGAACCTCGGCTCTCACCGCAGAAAGATTCGTCCAGCGATGGCTTTGTGTTCCTTGCAACCCATCCCAAGAGTGGGAAGAGTGGGGGGCTTCGCTGTTTTACGACACACCTATTTCTTAGAGGGGCCAGCCGGTTGATGTTTGAAGGGAAACAAACTGGAATCCACCCAAAAATACAACATTATTTGAGTCCCCCCCAACTTCATTGACCGGCCCAAGATATGATGAGTCAAACATCCTCCAAAATAAGCTCAGGTGATATCCCCAACAGCATGCGGTGAACCTCGTGGAACCCTCGTGGAACCCTGGGCCTATCTGGGCCAAGACCCCAAAGCTTTCAGCTGGTGGGGAAAAACACTAGAAATAGCTCCCTAGGCCCCTCATTCTACTGCACCGCTGTTTTTTTTTTCTCCGCGGCCTTTGGCGACGTTTCTCCTCTCAGGTTCGTGCACCATGTGCTCGTCCGTGAGCGTGTGGATCTGGATCTTGAAGCCCTTCTTGAAGGCCGCCGGGTCCTGTGGAAACTTCCCAAAGCGCCATGGGTCAAAAGCCAAATCGGTGAGCCCCCGGTGAACATCCGATTCAATCCAACCACTAAAATAGGTAACCGAAAATGTGATCTTGCTGTCGAAATGGCCATGGGCCAAAACTCAAATCGTACCCCCAGTGAATATCCCAATCCAAGCACTAAAATAGGTTCTAAAGTGGGTGGTGCACCCACCCCAACATAACATGGTACCATTGGTGAAAGTGGGCCAGCCAAATGACGTCCAGTTGGACTGCGCTGCTGGGCTCGCATTCCCCGCGCCCCCCCTCTTCTTTGGGCCTGTTGAACAAACATCGCAGGGCGCAGCCGAAAACCGGGTCAGACGGCCTGTGACAGCAACAAGGCCAAGGCAAAACGGCAAAAAATGCGAAGCGGGATTTTGCAGTTTTGAGCGGCAAGGAACCTTGTACAATGTGGCACGCCAAAAAAGCGCACAGAACATGAAACCAAGCAAGAACACGTGCCAAACAACGCGAAGAAAACAACTAGATCTGGGAGCAAGCCTCTCAAGCTCCAATCGCAAGGAAAGGTGCACCGTTGCCCCTTTGAGGTCAGGGGATCGATGGGGATGCATGAAAACAAGGGTGAGCGGTTTGGCACACAATGTTGACCCCGGATGAATCAATTAATCAACAATTGGACGCCCATCTGTTCATCAAACAACCCTGAAGCCACAGTATGTCTTCAGCGTCACCCACCAAATCGGCGGATTGCAAATAGGGCATGATTTTGGGTGCGAATGAACGGACCCTGGTGGAGTTTTAAGGACACGCCGTCGGGTGTCCGGTGAAAACTGACTCAACTGGCGAATCGAACGGTCCCAGGAGTTGTCGAGGCCCAGAGCGGCAAAGGCCCCGCAGAAGTCCTAGCAGAGCTACGGCTGGGCTGGTCACCGGGTTGTGTTTGGATTCCCTTGAAAACAGCCACCAAAGCGACCCGGGTGGCACCTTTAAAGGGGTCTGTTCAAACGGGCTCATGGTTCTGGCAACCAGGCTGCGTTGCCTCATTCTTCGAGTAAGCCATGCATGGAACCGTGTATGGTTCCGCAAGAGAAGCACAATGAAACGCAGAACGCCTGCATCGGAGTGCGTCTTGCAGGTATCCCCCCAGGGCCACTTGCTCAACACCCGCTCAGGGCCTCATCATGATCACAAGGGTGATGGTGATGACAGTCAGAAACAAATGCCACGCACGAGGTGCCAGACCAGAAAGGGCTCTTGCTTCACTTCAAGCAGCTACATGGTTTTGGTTCTGCCGCCTCAAACAAAAGCTACATTGTCAGTGACCCAAGTCCTATCTTCCAACCCGAGGACAGTGGTTTGTCTTTGAGTAAGGCCCTGTCCGCAAACAACTACCCTCCTTACAGTAAGAGCAGAACCGGATGGGAGCTCGCCTTGCTATCCACATTGCTGGGGCCCTCGGTCGTGAGCCGCAGGAGGTTCTGCTCCTCTGCAATCCTCGCGGATCGAATGGCTCGCTTTGCACAGAAGCAGAGCTCCCGAAGCACCCAAGGCAGCCAGTCGCTGTGTCACTCCCCACCCCCTCGCAGAGATGCAAAGACCTGCCTGTTGCAGCCCCTTTACAAACGAACCGCGGGTCTTCCGATGCCTGGCCCCTTCTCCCGGCGCCCCTAGCCCCTTTCTTACAAATGAACACAGCCAAAGCAGGGAATGCACAGGTGTCTCTCACCGCGGGTCTTCCGATGCCTGATGCTATCCCTTGCCCTTCTCCCGGGGCCTCGCCGCGGCCTTGGAAGACGCTGCCTGGCGCGTGGCCCGGCCAGAGGAGCGCGCTTGAGGGGGGCAGGAGACTGACGGGAGGCTCAGGGGGCTTCTGTGTCTCTGCACACCCCCGAAATCCGAAATCCCTTCGGTTGCCCGCAAATTGTTCTGTAACATGGTTCTGTTTCCCTTGAAATTGGCACCAAGGCAATGAATAGAACTCACTCAAAACCAGGCGCCAAGGCAATGCTCAAAAACACTGAAAGCGGATCCAAACCCTCGGCTTTGCCGCGCTGAAACCGAGGGCTCGCGTTTCTGGGCAGGGCTCCCTCCTTGCCTCAACGCGACAAGCAAGTGATTGTCAGGCAACCAGGTGTCCTTTTTTATCCACAAACAGGGGTGGGAAGGACGTTTGGAGATGGCTCTAAACGGAAAATATAGGAAAACCAATTTCGGTGCGGACATTTTACATGGCGCTCTGCTTTCCCCCACAGCGCAGCAGTTTCTGCTGCCAGACTGCGCGCAATTCAACGCCGAATCCAAGCAGGTCCCGCGGCCTTCTCAGTGTCTGCACTGTGCGCAGAATGAGCCGCCATCCCGCTGACGTCATTTGGCAGTTCGCCGGCGTTTGCCAAGCGCAGCGCCGGCTCCTTGGAAACAGCGCGCTACTTGTTGATGGCCAAAGAGGGCGGCCAAGTGCAAAGGAGTCGTTCCATCACAGTCAGCCTTGCCCATGTCAGCATCGGCGTTCAGCAAGCAGCGCGCAATGTCCCTCTTGCCGGTCCTGGCAGCCAAGTGCAGTGGTGTCCTTCCACGATTGTCAGCCTTGTCCACATCAGCCCTAGCTTCCAGCAAGCAGAGCGCAATTTCCTTGCTGCCACACTCAGTGGTCAAATGCAGGGGCGTGCTTCCACAATTATCGGCCTTGTTCTTGTCTGCGCCGGCTTCTATCAAGCAGAGAACAACTTCTGGATGACCATATTTGGCCGCTAGATGCAGGGGAGTCCCGCCAGCACTGTTGGCCTTGTCCTTTTCAGCGCCGGCTTCCAGCAGACATTGCACAATTTCCTTGCGGCCATTCTTGGCCGCAAAATGCAGGGCAGTGCTGCTGGGGCTTGGCTCAAATGCTTGTGCGTACCTCTCGACCGTGTCTGGGTGCAGGGGCCTTTCCAAGAGGTTCACGATTCCTGCGGCGTCGCCATTGATAGCTGCCCCCAGCCATTCCCTCTGGGCCTCTTCATCCGTGTCCGTATAGGGCCGAATCAGGACCACCAGCTCCGCATCAACCCAGCAGCTCCCCGGGCCCAGCATCTCATGGCCGCAGACCAGCGCCAGCCGTCGAAAGTTCAGCACCTGCAGCCGCCGGGACAAAAACCGCCGGAGGACATCCACGAAAATTCCCCTAAGGGAGTGCTCCTCCCACCATGCAGCGAACTCGTGTTCGGTCATCACAGCCTCGCCCGTCACTTTTCGCACGCAGCCCATCGATTCAGCGCAGAACGCAACGGTGCAGGCTGCAACCCGGGTCTGAGATCAAAGGCAACACCAACCCGCCACCGAGTAGGGCCTTTTGCAACATGGCAGTTTCCCCAACCAGCGACAAGCCCTTTCGTCGTTTTAAGTTTGACAAACGGCATCCCAAGTCGGAGAAGGCGCAATGGCAACACCTTTCGGCCTGTCTGAACATGTTGAACCACTCTTGAGGCGGTATCAGAGGGCAAAAGAGAAAACCAACCACCTGGAATGGTCCCTTTGAAAGAAGAAGAATGCCCAGGCCCACCCCTGATTCAGGTTCTATAATGGAGGCGGAGGGTATCTAGACTGGGACCATTCCCCAGTGGCCTGCCAAGACCCGGAAATCAAGGGTCACTTCCTCAAAGGACCCACCTGGCACATTGTTGGTGGATGCGTTCCTAAGACCACGGACAAAGGCAGCCATGTCTTTCCGGTTTGACTGGGCGTGCCCTGATAGTCAAGACGGGTGGCTTGAAAAGACTTGAGACCGATTTCGTGGTGTTCAGTCACTCCGAAGTGGCAGGCTTCCGCGCCTCGAAACTCTTTGTTCGTTCAAAGGTGTCCCAAACCGAAAATTCTCCCAGACAGTGGAAGTGCCCACTTCAATGCCCCCCACAAAGAGTTATTCTGATTCCCTAGTTCTGAATAGCACAAGTAGCTCTGTGCCGCGCTTGCTTGCAACCAAGGGCCTGCCCGAAAAAAAGCAGCCTCCTTCTAATTTCGCCCAACATTTCACACATGTCCCAAAGCCATGTTCGAATCCCAGCCGGAATGAGTATAGCAGCTTTTAAAGCGACACGGGAGTCCCAAGCCAAGGGCCTCCTGGCTTTTGCGGCTGCGCTTCATGGCCTAAGCGCTCAGCTCGCTCCAGGCGGTCACCGATATATCCCCAACGTTTGGAGCCGTGCCGAAAAACGAAGAAAGCCCCTCTGGGCAAAGAAAAAAACCTTCTGGGGAACAACATTCTCAGGACGCCTGGCGATTTTGAAGGAAACTCGCAAGTTGGCATAACCAAAGGATGCCGTTTTGCAAGCCCCGCCGCTCTGCTGGCTTTGTCAAGGGTGGTGTTATCAAGATCTCGCGGCCGTACGATGCAATTCCAGAGCTGGGTTCCCGCCAAGGTGACATCCAGGTTCAAAAATTCCCTCGAGCTGCTCAAGAATTGAAAAGTCTCACAACCCGAAAGGGCCAAGACATCTGCACTTTCAATTCAACCAACCAGCAAAAAATCCCATCCTTCACGGGCCTCGGGTGGAACTGCTCGCATTCTTCCGGTTCGGTGAGCTTCACACAAGTTCTCGTTGGTTGGGCTGCGTGTGGTTTCCTTTGAAGAACCCAGAGGGTGCAAACACCCTTCAATGGATCAGTCGTTCAAGCTCCGGCACAGGATGGCGAGCTGCTGTAGCCTCCCCTTTCCAACAATCATGGAAGGGACGCAGGAGGGCTTTGGAAGACCACAGTCACATTCAAAGTGCCTCCTGTCCAAGTGAATGATTGCCGGAGAGAGGGCGCCGGTGGTTTCCCCCCCACTTGCCCTGCCTGGCCATGCAAAGCGCGCCGCGCAGGGGATGACAGCTGGCTGACAGCGCTCAAAGCTTGGTTGTTGGGTTGCGGAGCTGGCTGCCAATCAATCTGTGGAAGGATCGGTGGAGGCCATCCTTCCTTGGGCCCAGGCTTGGAGGCCTGCGTTGGATCAAGCTGCCTTTTGAAGAACAGGCCGGAATTCTATCCAGTGGGCATAAATGCCTTTGCATTATGCGAAAACACACGGAATCCCATCTAAAGAACGTCTCCAAAGCTTTGGTCCCTTGAGCCGCGCCACGCTGCGATGCTAATCAACGATTCTGCCGACAAAGCCTTTGATGGACAGAATTCCCATCCATCCAACCAAACTCAAACTCACTCTGAATTGGCCACCAAAAGGTGATGTTCAGAACCAAGAAAGGGGAAGTACTGGAAACCCCGACAAAGGGCAGATGTTGGCAACATGTAACCGACGGAACCATGGCTGACTCAGAAACTCGTTGAATCCAGTTCCGTCTGTCCCACCAGGTGGCCGGTGCTTTCACCCGAGCCCCTTCCAGAAGCCCAGCCGTGCGTCCAGTGCAGCGCGTGCAGAATCCCAAGTCGCAAGGGCGAGTGGAATGGAACCAAAGGATTTGGCTGAGCTAGGCTTAAGTCAGCTTCGCTGTGAACCCGGGAGCCATATCAGAATGACATAGAACGCCTGCAAAACCGAAGTGGTCGCTCGGACTCGCGGAGATCGATGGGCTTCTTCAAAAAACTGGAAAGAAAAAACAACTCTAGAAACCTCCATCTCCGAGCTGCAATCCCAGCCAAGCGATGCATTCCGTGCCAAAGCCCTTGATTTTGGGCTGCTTGGGTGCCTTCCCCTGGTTCGCGTACGGGTCCAAACCTCGCCGCAAAGCCAGACCACCGAAGAGAGGGAAAGAGAAAGGGACAGGTGGGATATGGGTCAAGACTAGACCACCAGGAATCGGACCGCAGGTTTTAGTCCATGCTTCCATTTATCAGGGTTCCATTTTGGGCACCTATTTTTGACCCACTGCCAGGTCGCTATGGAGAGATCCAGCGCGAAGCGCGCACTCCTTTCGTTCGCGTGCGCCGCCAAATTATTGCAGGGGGGCTTTGAGCCAGCAGCAGCTGACCCCATCTTGGAGCAAGCGGAGACTAATTGTGCAGCCGAAACCGGCGGATGGCCAAGCAAATTCGGCCAGGTACTACTTCATAGGTGCCCTGGCGGCGACTGCGCTTGGAAGTTGTTTGGACCGAACAAAGCTCGGGCACCCTCGCACGTTCACCCTGTTCCAAGTTCGGGGAGGTTCTCCTGGGGCTTTGGCATTCGAACACAGCCTTCGTCAAATCGAAACCGGCAAATGCCAAAAGGAACCCTCTGCCTCCGACCAAAACTCAACACCTCCCCCGCCCCCCCCCCCCCCCCGCCGAAAAAGAGAAAACCACGACGCCGCCTGGCGTATTGCTGGTATTCCCCCGCCGGCGCGCCCGCGTAGTACTGGCAGGGGGCGGCCTCGGATAAACTGCCAAGATTCGTCGAAACTTCTTGTTGATCACTACAATGGCCTTCACCGAAGAAAAAAAAGAAAGCAAAAGAAGCAGCAAATACTCAGGAACTCGCGGGGTGAGTAGGGCTTCGCCAGCCAGCAAGCAGCCAGGTAGGCAGGCAGGCGATACACTATGCTCCTCCCGAATCCTTTCCACATCGCCCTTTGCTGAACCAGGCCCCAAACGAAACTCACCGAACCTTGGCAGCGGCGACAGCCATATACGTAAGGTTTCGGAAAGGACAAATGTTCCATCCACATCCCCGCTCCAATCTCTTTTTGGGGTCCTTCAGCTTCCTCAAAAGCGTCTACCCCCTCTCACCACATGTTCCTGTCCTCCCCAAAGGGGGGGATTCAGTAGGCCAACCCATACAGGCCACTCATGCTTTGTATAACATCTTCTTAGCTTAGCCCATGCTTGGCGCGCGGCCGCATGCCCGGCATGCGTGGCGGCCCCCGCCGGGCGCATCCTGGGAACTTCGTCCCGGCGAAGCGAAGCAAGGAAGCAAGCTCCCGAAGCCAAAAAACGATTCGGCGAAACTCCCATGACCCCCCTCCAAAAACACACACACACACAGACACACACACACACACACACACACACACACACACACACACACACACACACACACACACACACACACACACACACACACACACACACACACACAGACACACACAGACACACACAGACACACACACACACACACACACACACACACACACACACACACACACACACACACACACACACACACACACACACACACACACACACACACACACACACACACACACACACGCAAGTGGCAACTTGTGAAGACTGCCCCTCGCCTTCGGGAAGAACCACAGGCAAGATAAAAAGAACAGGTTGCCAGATGTTGCTCATGTGCGAAACGCCACTCCCATGTGCGAGAACCCGCACGTAGAACTTTCAAACGGCTATACCAAGCGCAAAACCACCAGGCGCAGACTGAACCCTACGGGGTCGTTCACAGTTGCCCAAAACGATAGTCGATACTTATCATCCTCTCAACAAGGCCAGCCCCCCGCCCCCCAATCGTTTGGACACCTGAGCGCTGGCGAATTAGCCACGTGCCCCTGGGTAGGTAGCCCTAGAATTCGCCCCGATATCTCAATGTGCGTGCATAGAACTATTGAGCCCCTTCTGTCACGCAGTTGCACGGCAACGGATGGGTTTTGGATAGACATCAGGCAGTGTCGCAGCAAAACCGGCGCATCGGCAGCTTTAAAGCCAGCATCTCCCACCTCAACAAATATGAAGATCATTGTCAGGTTTCTTTGGCTTAGTAGACTTCATGGCTTCACCGGCCCCTCTCAGAGAGTTCCGAAATGGGTGATTCCATGGAGAAGACCTGGATGAGGTTCCTCTTTGGGCCTCCCCTCTTCTGGGGAAAATCCATGTTGGCTCTCAGGAAAGCAGACCCAGCAAACACCCCCCAGCCCCCCATGCGCGGCGACGCGACTGCGCCCCGCGCCCGGATTGAGAGCTACGATGCACCTCGGCCGCATCCGATTGTTGTTTCGGCCACGCAGCTCTTGTGGATTGCTTCCACCTTGACTGCTTGAATAATGACGCGGATATCGATCAGATGTAGTAATGTTAATGGTGTAAGAACCATGAACAAGCAGAACAATGGTAGCAGAGAAGCTAGATAAACTCATGAACTTGGTGACATTGGATCGGCTTCGGAGGAAAACCAAATCGACCCCCTTCAACGCGCCTTCTCCCCCGCTTCATTCATTGTTGGATGGGTGACAAGGCTAGCGATTAGGGAACGGGCACCCAAAGAGCATCCTCGCGAGCAACCCGTAGGGCTAAGTGTGCGCCGTGTGTTGGGCCTAACAAAGCCTCGTGAGCTGCTTTTCTGGCAGGATGTTGGCCAACTGGCACAGGATGTATGCTGACCGTCCTTGTTTTAAGTGCTATCTTGCTAAACCAGCAATGCCCTCCCATTTGTCACACCAAAAGCGTTTGCTTCACCAAGACTGAACAACAGCTCAGGCCTGTTGACGCAAAACGAGCGGGGAGCGCTAGAGACTGCGTTGGTGATTCGCCATCTCTCGGTGCCAACGCCGAAAAAAGTTTGCAAGACCTCCCATCGCACAAAGCTAAGGGAACGGGAAAAAGCCAGGGGGAAGTGTTGATCTTGGACAATTGAGGGAAGCCTCTGAGTTCCAGGAATCGTCACGAGAAATCCCCGCTGTATCCTGCTTGTCCAAATCCGGCCCCTCCAAGCCACGAGGAAAAGGGAGACTTTTTGTTGGCTGCAAGGGATTTGACGAGTTTAAGACAAACACACGGGTAACCGGGGCAAAGCCTCCAAACAGAACCCCCCCCGTTTTGGGCGCCCAGCGTGCTGGGCGTGCATCTGCCTCAGCGTGAAATCGGAGTGATGGGAAGCTTTGTGCCCGGGGGTACCAGCTTGTACCTTGCATAAATAAGGGGGGTATATACACGGGTACTTCACGGGATAAGGGGTGTATAAGGATATATGAGGTATGATTGGAAGAAGGGTAGGTCACACCCGCGGGACAGCTGATTTTGAGCCGGGCTCGACCATCCATGGATAGTGCGCAACAACCCATCTAAGTGCCAAATCAGGGGTCCCAAACAAGAAGTGTCAGAAAGCCCCCCTGTCACCTCTAAGTCCGCATCCACACATCCCACTCGTATTCAACGACACCTGGCACAAAAGTCCACATAGCATTGTTGTGACAACCTTTTTGAGGTCATCTGAAAGGAAAACCGAAGGCAAAACCACCCAGTCTCCCCAGTTCGAGACGGAGCCTACGGCCTCCTCCTTACATCCCAACCACCACCAATGCCGGAAAACGTAGGCTCCAGACATTGAGGGCAAGGGGGATCTGCACCTCTGTGCCAAGGAAACCTATCATCAGGGAATCAGGGTGTCTTTGGAGTTACTATGATTCCAGGAGCTACCAACATCTGGTATGTGTCCAAAGGAGAAGGTGTCCCGTCATGACGCTCTTGGTCAGTTCCATGCGGTTTGGCGGATACAACTCAAGGATACCCCGCCCCAAGCGGTGAAGTAAAAAGACTCACTTCCTGGGTGGGTTGGTCTGAAAAGTCCAGGCCACCATAATTTGCCGGCAAATGAGTGCAACAAAAAGGGGAAAGATCACCTCCCCACCCACCCACCCACCCACCCACCCACCCACCCACCCACCCACCCACCCACCCACCCACCCACCCACCCACCCAGACCTATCCACCCACCCACTCCGCAGAAGGCCTGAACCCTTGGCGCCCCTGCCCACCTTGGCCGCTGGCCACCTGTGATGTTTCTCTCGAAAGCTGAGCTTCGTTCACAGGAGGTCAAAGAAAATTTGACCATTTGTTCTTCTGCTTCCTGCTGCGGAGGCCAAAACATGTTATTTTCCGCAAGTGTCTAGAACTTGGGAGGTGAAATGACCTGCGGATGGCCACATCCACTTCGCAGCGGCTGACAGGTGGCTTATCCAGATGTTCATCGGGCTTCATGAACTACCGGTGTAGGACTCCTCGGCGTCTCTGTGACGCGAGACCCTCATGGGTGATGTGCGCATTCGAGCAAGAGAAACACGGGCAAAAGCAAGCAGAATGGCAGGTGCTTTGGCAAAGCGGCACGGCAGAGTCATCTGGCAAAGAGGAAAAACAAAACACGCATCCGCAAACTGGGGGGAGCCCCATGCTCAACAGAGAAGCAAAAGGAAGCCAAAGTCCCTAAGTTGAGAAGACTATGAAACCTGAATCGCAGCTTTACCTGGATGGATCAAGCAAGTACCTTCAACTCTTGCTCATCTTTTGCTGGAAAGTGGTGGAATGTTTGCCATGTTCAAGAAGCTCAAAGTGCTATTTCGGTCCAACCTAGGAGACTCCGCTTCTTTGCCTGAACTAATAGCCTGAATAGTCAGCATCATGCACTCCGATTCAACAGTGTGATAACATTGGACCTCCAAGAAAAAGAAGAAAAAAAAGAGAACAAAAAAAGAGGGAGAAAAACAAACCGGTCAACACGTACATCTGCAGGTGTTTGCCCACCTACCTATGTCCTTTCATGTTGGCTTTCCCGTCCCTTCTTGTGGTTGCCATGTACTTGCTCCATCGAGAGCCATTACCCTCCTAAGCTCTTGTTTGTCTCTTGCCAAATGACCGTCACAGCAACTTCAATATCCATCCCTTGCATTTTTCTCAAAATCAAGGGCCGCGAAATACGTTCGTGATCCAATCCCCTCCTGTCGTCCTTAACTCAGCCTTCGTGTTTTACATCCAGCCAATTCTCCACAACCCAGCCCGCACACACCACCTTATTCACCATCCTTTGGTGGCCCCTTTTTCCCCCCCAATGGCAATTTTAGTAGGTGGCTACTACCAGGTTTCATACAGGTTCCAGTGGGGCCCGTACAAGTCTTTGTGCTCATGTTGGCGCTGCGAACAAGCAAGTCACATTTTCAGGCATTCCTTCTGTCGGTCGCCAAGAGGCGCCTTTTGGTGGATCTCACAACCCCCGCTCGCCCTCCGAAAGCCATCGCACGCCTGGCCCGCTGCTTGGTAGTGCTGCGACGCCTCGGCGCATCGCGAATGGAGCTACTCCCAAAGAACCGTCCACAAAGAAGCGGTCGGTTTTCCCGGTCTTAGGCAGAAACATGCGGATTTTAGTTTTTGTCTTCTTTTCGAAAGATATCGTATGAATGCGTCAATTCAGGTCAAGAGTAGGAGGATTCAACACCCGACTTAAGAGAATTTCAGCAACGGACCCTTCACCATGTTTGCCCGCGTTCGGCGACCATAAATTGCAGATTGTCGTGGATGCGTGTGCACAAGCCAGTCTCGAAGCCGAGCACTCCGCAGGGTTGCCAACCACACACTTCTGTCCCATATCACCCTGTCGACTGCATCTCAAACATGTTCATCGCCACTATCTTACCAGCTTACCTGCATTCCACGTCACCTGTGCATCACCTCTGCATCATCACATGCATCGCCTGCATCGCCTGCATCACCAGCATCACCGGATCGAGTTTGCCGGGCAAAAGCCGAAAGCCGAGGCTTTTCGAGGGCCCGAAAAGGACGAGCTGCACAAAAAAAAACAGGACGTTGTCTGGTTTGGGTCGGGCGCGGGCTTCCAAAGCATGGGGCGAAGGGGTTGGCCCGAAAACGCATGACCCCCAACAACCTGACATATGAAACCACTGGCAGGATCCAACCGGTCTTGACACAAGTCCCGGAAGATGGACAAGTGGATAGCCTCGGCTGGGACTTGAGGAAAACCGGCGAGGCCATTTCGCAAACATTGCAGCGTAAGGTACCATCTCAACCACCAGAAGAAAAAAAATGGGGTGGACTCCACTCCTTTCAATTGTTCTTTTCTCTTCTTTGGCCCTTCTCCTGAATCCATCGTGCGGTTTTGGGAAAGATTCGGATCATACAGCATGAGATTCTTCAAAGGGAACCCCCTCCCCACCAAACAAATGACCGGAAAGAGGACTGAGCTCAGAGACTCAGAGGGCAGGACCCCGGCCGGCTGGCCCGCGTAGGTGGCCTGCTGCATGGCCTGCGGAAACAATTTGGGCGGAGGGTACCCTTTTCAGGTTGAGGGGAGAAAACCGGGGAAATATGCGGACGTTGTGTCTTTGAGTTGGGCTTCAAATGCCTGGGTTGACTCACATACCTGCGCCCACCAAAAAAAGGCTCCCCTTTTGTGAAATTGGTCAGTTTGGAAAACGAGTGAGGTTTTAAGGTCGAGTATAGGGAACCCTGTGCAACCAGGGTTGAAAAAGAATCGGCAATCCGGACGCAAGAAAGTTGGGCAGGTCCCAAAAACTGCAACACTTTGAGAACTTTGGGCTGGGAGAAACATGTTATTCTGAATGGTGAAGAGAGGGTGTCTCTTAGTCAAAAGGATCAAGAACAAAGGGGAGCAGCTGATTGGCTTTCTGCTGGCTTGCGCTGCTTGTCCCTCAAACTCGAACCGAAAGGTTCTTTTCTAGTTTTCGCACACCCGCTTTGGGATTGTTGCTGAGGGTCAGACTGGCCCGCATGAACGTGTCACGAGTTGAATGTGGTTAGATTGAGAGGAACAAAACAGGGTGGAAACTGCAAATACTTCTGTTCAGGAGGACGAAAGTTTATGCCTCTTGCTGGTTTCTACGAAGCCGTATGGATCGCCTGCGGGTCGAATTTCCAATTCGGTTTTGTGTGGCAGGGGCGGGACGGTCAATTATCACCCTCTTTTAAAATTAACATACTTTTAAAGGTTTTGGAGTGTGAAAATTCGACCACGAGTGACCCAGCATCAGCTTGCAGGATTCTAGGGGGAAAGGGTTGTGTTCTCTGAGAAGGCCTGAGAGGCGCAACTTTTGTCCTGGCAGTGCGTCACGGGAGGGGTGTTGGGTGACAGGTTGCAGACGAGCGATTCGCATTTTTCGCAATCTCTGCTGTGTACTGTACGACGGCTCTCGGCGCCAAAAGGCTAGGAAGAGACCTACGGGGGTGCGCGTGGGCAATTTCGGACCCGGAAAGCCTTTTATCATTACAAGTTCTAAAACGGTGTGTTACTTGACCGTCCCACGCCTGCTACACAAACCGCACTTGTTAATTCCATCCGCGGCTGACCGGGTAGAGTCTTTTGAAAGCAGCCAAGAAGCATAAACTTTCGTCTGGCTGAAGGGCAGTAAAGATAATTCAGTGGCACTCGCGGCTCCTTTGAAACATGCGGCTGCAGACATCAGGAGGACGAAAGTTTATGCCTCTTGCTGGTTTCTACGAAGCCGTATGGATCGCCTGCGGGTCGAATTTCCAATTCGGTTTTGTGTGGCAGGGGCGGGACGGTCAATTATCACCCTCTTTTAAAATTAACATACTTTTAAAGGTTTTGGAGTGTGAAAATTCGACCACGAGTGACCCAGCATCAGCTTGCAGGATTCTAGGGGGAAAGGGTTGTGTTCTCTGAGAAGGCCTGAGAGGCGCAACTTTTGTCCTGGCAGTGCGTCACGGGAGGGGTGTTGGGTGACAGGTTGCAGACGAGCGATTCGCATTTTTCGCAATCTCTGCTGTGTACTGTACGACGGCTCTCGGCGCCAAAAGGCTAGGAAGAGACCTACGGGGGTGCGCGTGGGCAATTTCGGACCCGGAAAGCCTTTTATCATTACAAGTTCTAAAACGGTGTGTTACTTGACCGTCCCACGCCTGCTACACAAACCGCACTTGTTAATTCCATCCGCGGCTGACCGGGTAGAGTCTTTTGAAAGCAGCCAAGAAGCATAAACTTTCGTCTGGCTGAAGGGCAGTAAAGATAATTCAGTGGCACTCGCGGCTCCTTTGAAACATGCGGCTGCAGACATCAGGAGGACGAAAGTTTATGCCTCTTGCTGGTTTCTACGAAGCCGTATGGATCGCCTGCGGGTCGAATTTCCAATTCGGTTTTGTGTGGCAGGGGCGGGACGGTCAATTATCACCCTCTTTTAAAATTAACATACTTTTAAAGGTTTTGGAGTGTGAAAATTCGACCACGAGTGACCCAGCATCAGCTTGCAGGATTCTAGGGGGAAAGGGTTGTGTTCTCTGAGAAGGCCTGAGAGGCGCAACTTTTGTCCTGGCAGTGCGTCACGGGAGGGGTGTTGGGTGACAGGTTGCAGACGAGCGATTCGCATTTTTCGCAATCTCTGCTGTGTACTGTACGACGGCTCTCGGCGCCAAAAGGCTAGGAAGAGACCTACGGGGGTGCGCGTGGGCAATTTCGGACCCGGAAAGCCTTTTATCATTACAAGTTCTAAAACGGTGTGTTACTTGACCGTCCCACGCCTGCTACACAAACCGCACTTGTTAATTCCATCCGCGGCTGACCGGGTAGAGTCTTTTGAAAGCAGCCAAGAAGCATAAACTTTCGTCTGGCTGAAGGGCAGTAAAGATAATTCAGTGGCACTCGCGGCTCCTTTGAAACATGCGGCTGCAGACATCAGGAGGACGAAAGTTTATGCCTCTTGCTGGTTTCTACGAAGCCGTATGGATCGCCTGCGGGTCGAATTTCCAATTCGGTTTTGTGTGGCAGGGGCGGGACGGTCAATTATCACCCTCTTTTAAAATTAACATACTTTTAAAGGTTTTGGAGTGTGAAAATTCGACCACGAGTGACCCAGCATCAGCTTGCAGGATTCTAGGGGGAAAGGGTTGTGTTCTCTGAGAAGGCCTGAGAGGCGCAACTTTTGTCCTGGCAGTGTACTTTAAAGAGGTCTTCTGTGGGTATCGCAGAAGTGGGAACCAACCCCTCATTGCCACGACGCTGGAAAAGGAAGCAGGAAACTACGCATGTCGGGGCCCCCGTACCCAGTTCTAAGCGGGTTTTGAAGGCAAATACTCTCAGACAACCAAGATCGTTTTTTTGAGTGACTATTGGGGGGGGGCAAGCCATGTGGCGGAGTTGGGCCCCTTAGTTCATTGTCCAGGACACCAACATGAGTGTCCATTTCACGGCACGGCAATTGTTTTGCCCTCTCATGTCGAGCCCTGACTAACATAACGCATTTTGATGACATCCGGGGGTATTCCTTTCGAGGCCCTGATGAAATCAACGATCCACGTAACAGGCTCGCCTGAGTGGCCTGCGGCTGCGCCTGGCGCGTGCAGGGGTTTTGGGGGCAACAACACGAGGATCCTCGTGACCCCCATGATTCATACCTCACCCAGAACAAAGTGGGGACCAGTTCATCAAAAAGCCCGAGGCGCCTGACAGATTTATGGGGTCAACATCGCTTGCAACCCGCGCTTCTTCCATGGTTAGGGGTGAACCTTTTTGGCTCTCGGCTGATCGCGGCTGGAGCCGCGGGAAGGTCGTCTCAGAGAATTTCCAAAGTTCGGGTGGTTCAACCTTGAGAACAAGGAGGAGAGGACACCGTTGCCATTTTGGGTCGCCTCGTTCAAGACGCCCATTAGCAAGTTCCCTGGGATCCCCGCCCAAGGATCTCAAAATGCAAATGCCACGCGGCATGGGAACCCCCCCAAAAAAACAACAACAACACGAAACGAGGCCTGGTGAGTGTCCCTGGAAGGGAACCCTGAACTGAGGGAAGTTCGCTTCCTTCAAGTTGGCAACCAAAAGGATGATGTGCTAAGGCGCGTTGTCTTTTGCGGGTACCCTTTGTGAGGTTGTTTTAAAGTTTAAAGGTCCCCCTATTTAAACATTCCCATACGGGTAGGGGAAACCAAGAAGCGGTCCGCCACGGTGGGGTCCCCGAATTATAAAAGGAAGCAAGACAAACAGATAAGACAGGCAGACAGACAGACAGACAAACAGACACACAGCCAGGCAGGCAGGCAGGCAGGCAGGCAAGCAGGCAGGCAGGCAAGCAGGCAGGCAGGCAGGCAGACGGACACACAGACACACACAGACACACACAGACACACAGACACACAGACACACAGACACACAGACACACAGACACACAGACACACAGACACACAGACACACAGACACACAGACAGACATAGACATGTCATCCGCACGCAAGCAATGCAACTGCAGTCTTAGTGTCATTCTTGCAAGCATGCAAATAAACAAGGTGGCTCGGCGAGCTTTCTGGCTTGTTTTGTCCAGCCACGGCCCTTGTGAGGAGAACTAGGGCGACAAGTTGGCTGCAGTTGAAACACCGACATGTTTGAATCCGAAGTGTGACGCACTCCAACGCTGCTCCAACCTTGCTTGCTTTGCTTTTTCTGTACGCCAACGTCGCTCAAATGTTTCGAAACAACAGGCCACGCCGATGTCAGATTGCGAAGCTCATATTGCTGTTGACACGTGAACCAAATCTGCCTCAACGGTTGGAACCACAAAGATTCCGGGCAAACCAATGGCTGCAGAGCGAAACCATGCTCTCTGCTCAACTTGTCCGCACTCAGCTCTCTGCTTACGCCATCAGCGAAGTTGCTGCCAGAATCAACCCATTCAAACCAGCAACGGATTTTGAGAAAGTACTGCGTGACATGAAAAACTGCCCCAACGCTGTCAAGTTGAGGTCCTCTTGCTGCGCCTTTCACAACTGAGTATAGCGCTGTGGTGTTGTCACACTGCCACAAAACGTCCCTCCCACGGAAAATTGCAGGGAACTTCATGACTGTAATCGGCAACACGCAGCATTCGCCAAGGGCAATGGGATTGCCTCCTGACTGCAAAACAGACTCCGAATAGCCCCAAGCTTCCAAAAGCTGCTTCTCAAAGCCATTTGCCAGGAGTGGAATCGCGGGCAGCGCGTCAAATCTGGCCCGTGCCCAAAGAAGCAGCTACATGGCAAGTTGGTTCCCGCACGGCCAGAGCGTGTGGCGTGAGCAACCGCCGCGAATTGCAAGCAGGCGAGCCGCAAGGCTCGAGGGTGCCCAAATGAGGAATCGCAAGTGGCCTCATTTGGGAAGAGTTGAGCCACTGGCAAGCAGGCCACAGTGTGGTCCAGCTGATGTTTTGCCAAGAAGCCATAGCCAGCGGCTTCCGATTTATGCTTCAATGGTTTAGAAGACTTGTTCAGCCACCCTTCACCAGTTTGGTGAAGAACGCAATGTGGACCCAGGTGTCAGTCGCTTGGCACCACTGCAGCACAGCTTGGGCGTTCAAACCGCTGTTCTCGCTCAAAAGAAAGCGCTGCCAAGCATGGTGCCACTTTACCAAGGGGCTGCAAGCACATTTCACAGCTGCTGCAGGCGTCCCATGAGGAAAGGTTACCTTTTGACGATTTGGTTTGTTGCCACGATTTTTCATTTGCTGCGTGGAGCGCAGTGCAATGCGGGCAAAGTTTGCGAGCGCATCGCAAGCTGGGCAGAGCATTGTTGAAGGAGTTGGCGCCGCGGCGCCGGCCCTTGTCAAATCACTTCCGCAAGTACTTGCCACCTTCTGTCTTTAGTGTTGCGGGACACATGGATGTCGGTTTCCTTGCCACTTTGGTCACCCTGATTTGCTTTGATTGGGCAGCTCGAAACTGTGAATTTGTGGAACACTGTTGAGGAAGTGCCAAGCATTGATGAAGCAACCCTTTGCCGCGCTGGGCCTGCCGTGCTACAGCAGTACGCAAGCAAAGTCTTTTAGCCCCGAAGACTTGGACTTTCTGTTTGAGAGCTGTTGCAAGGAAGTGCGCAATGGGAAAGCAGGACAAACGATGACCGTACAAGGGTATGGCCAACAGGGCTGGTCTGTTTCACCTGCCCTTGTCCACACGCAGCCATGTGGCAAACGCCAGGCGCATCGATGACGCCAAAGCTGGAAAGCAGAAGCTTTTTATGAGAGGTTCAGCGTGACGCCGGCCGTGGCTGCCCGAGCTTTACTTACTTGGGCTACTTGCGCCAACGCTGTGCCGCTGTCCGATCTGCCGGACACGGACAGGCCTTGTGATTACCTTTTGGCGCGGACAAGGCGCAGGTCCTCTCGCACCAAAATGTTTTTCTTGGCGTTTCTCATGACACCAGCGTGGCCTTCAAGTCATAGGCCAAGCAAAGCCTTTTACAGAAGGCCACAGCATTGATTCGCGAGCGACTGCGCGAAGGTCGCACTACACCAGCGCAGGCTTCCCAAATCAGAGGCGTTTGCAACTTCATTGCTCTCGCGCAGTGGGGGCGGGTCGGGCGCTCGCCTTTGGGTCCGCTGCGCAGACGACAGTACAGTGACAGACCTCCCTGGAGCAGCTCATGGTCATGGAGGTTCACGTCCCCCGCGGTGTGCGTCTCTGCTTCCACCCTCGGTTTCTTGGCGGTAGCTTCGGACGCACAGGCTGATTGCCACCCTTCAGGCGGCGCCTTGATTTACGACCCTGCTACAGGGAGCAAAGTGGGCGGGTAGTGCGGCAAGTTCCAGCAAGCTTGCCTTTCTGCGAACACTTTGCGGATGACCACACCCATGCTGCGCGTGCCACCCCGAGATCGCTCACACCATAGAGCCTCCTCCTCTTTCTCGACAACCTCGCAGAAGCGGGCTGAAGCCACCGACATGACATACTTCTGCACTCCGTGGAAATGCGCCATGCACACGTCCAGCGGGCAGAAGACAAACAGGGGTCTGAATGAACATCTGCCGGAGTCTGCGGCGCATCTACAGGTGCGTTGCTTTTGCGAATGCCACCATCAGCATTTCCAGCTGAATCAGGAAATTTGCAACGCTTTCTTCCTCAGAATCCTCCACAGTTTCTGTGTGCACTAAGAGCACTCCCTTGCTGACCTTGGCGCGCTTCTTCTCTCCGCTGAGTTGCGCTGCCAGGGGGTTCACTTTGAGAACCTCTGCTCTTGAACAAGCGGTGAAGGTTGGACACCAGCAAGTCTGAAGGGGTGCGTGTTGCTGGGTACCGCATGCGATACCTAGCCCAGAAGGCCGTGTTGAGGGACTCAAGCTCATCTGTGCCCAACAGCGCCTCCAACTCTGGTGTTTCCAAGCCCTTGCGCTTCTTTTCGGCCACGCGTTGAACAGCCTCTCCGACCGCTGCCCAAGCCTTGCGTAGCCTGGCTGTCTGCACGCCCTTGTTTGGCAAGTCGGTTATCTTGTCCACGATGAGAGTTCTGACTTCATCATCGCTCGTGACGAACTTGGCAAAGTCCTCTTTAGACAGTTGCAACCTTCACCGACAAGAACGCACCGACTTTTTCGTTGGCATTAAACTTCTGGCACATATGATTGAAAAGCCCAGCAGCGTCAGACGCAGGCTGCGCTGGGGGCTGGAGGTCTGCTTTGCATCAACTAGCAACTAGCAGACTCACAAGTACATGCTTGAGCAAACATGTTGCAACCCACAGACGTGATCCGAGCGTGTGTCGCTGGGCAAACTGAAGAGAAGAAACAACCCTTTGACGCAGAATGGACTTTCTGCCTTGATGGTTTGGACTTGGCCCTGCAAATCTGCTGGCAACAAAGATGTAAAGGCTGCACAAAAGGGGCGACTTGCATTGATCGCACCGGAAAATGGAGTCAATTTGCAGCGGCTTTCCTTTGAAAACGCCATGCCTCAATTTCTTGTTTCAAGAACAAGCAGGGCCCAACGCATCTGCGCGACGCAGATGCGTGAGAGCATTCCGCCTTCCTGCGGACATCCAACATTGCGGGTCGAAATCGCGCTTGACAACGCGTTGGACCTCTTCAGAACAAGCTCTTCGAGGCAGGAATGTCTCCGAGCTGCAAGGCCAGAGGTGCTTTGGTGCCCGCGCTGCCGACTTAGCAGCACTAAAGCCTGCGCAAGCTGCAGCTTGTTTACGCCAAAGCGCCAGCCTGCCTGGGTCTTGGTTGGACCACCAAGACCGAAATTCCTCCCAGGAAGAAATGCCCGCAGCCAAAGCCTCTGCAAAGACAGTGACATGAAAAGCTTTGCTCTGAACTTCACTTGCGGCTCGCTGGCCGCTGTACCGAAAAGGCATGAGATTCCGCTTTGCCTGCGCTGCTTGCAATGTCACAGCATCCATCTGCCACCCTCCTACGTCAAACCGCTCTGGCCACTCCGCATTGCGGCAATCCAAAGCCGTGGGAGCGCAGCGTCGAAAAGAATCAGAGGAAATTGACGGCGACTCAGCCGCCAAAATTGCCCCAACTTCTTGCTGCGCCATAACATTGAATTGCTGCAACGAAACTGAGCGACCGCACGCTTGACAAATGAAAACAGGTGGCGTGTCGCGGTAGCACGGCAGTGTTTGTGTTTGGTGCCAGGCAATCTTGGCACAAACCATCGGAATCCGTGTCGCTCCCCTTGGATTTTGCACTTGCCTCTCTGCTGACCCAGAAACATACCCAGGTGTGGCGCGCGACTGACCGGTACCATGCGAAGCGCGTGTCTGTAACGCAGCGGAATCAGAGCGAGCACCACCATGACTGAAAGCACGCATGCCGTGGCAAGGTCTTTCTCCCGCGCCTCCTGAGCTCTGCTGCACAAACACTTGACCATGAAGGGTTCGAGCGGCACGGCCTCTCTGCCTTGCCATTTGCGAAGCGCGCGGCACAGGCACTGCGTCAAAGCCAACCGGGCTTGCAAGTGCCGAGCCAGCCATGCTGTGAAATTGTAACAGGCTTTTGGCACTGACCCGCCCTTGCCTTCTGCAAACACGCTACTGTAGTCCTCCACCACGACTGCACTCTGCGCGCGTGTTCCCAAAGGCAAACCCACTCGGCCAGTGCATCTTTGACAGTTCGCTGCTCAAATGCCAATAACCGTGAGCAGCAACGCGCCGCGTAAGCATGTCACTGTCCACCACACCAGCTTGGACTCCAAATTCCGGGGCCCATGACATGGAAAGCTCTGCTCACTGTGAGTTGCCGCTGCATCAAATCTGTTTTCTCAGTCAAAGGCCGTAGTCTGCCACGCGTCGACTTGTGCCCAATGCGCACGCGAACCCTTTGCACTCGAGCAGCGGTGTTCGCATGCAGGCTGGCATGAAGCAAGTTTCTGGCTTCCACATATCTACTCGACTTGCAGACGCCATGTGCCACGCACATCTCAAGGTTTCAGAAGCAGGTTTAGCAAGCTCAGTGAAAAAGAAGGCCAAATCATCGACAGTCTCAAGACCTTCCTTCTCAGCCCAAGGTAGCACAGCATGAAATTTGTGCCTCTCCAGCCAGTATCTAATGGGTTCCATGGCCAAAACAGAACATTGCGAAGCACGACCTTGCTTGGGCCTGACCTGAGCCAAGCTGTCGATGCTTCGAGTGTTGCGCCTGTTTACGATTGCCTGACAGCAAAACAGACAGATAAGCAAGCAAGCAAGCAAGCAAGCAAGCAAGCAAGCAAGCAAGCAAGCAAGCAAGCAAGCAAGCAAGCAAGCAAGCAAGCAAGCAAGCAAGCAAGCAAGCAAGCAAGCAAGCAAGCAAGCAAGCAAGCAAGCAAGCAAGCAAGCAAGCAAGCAAGCAAGCAAGCAAGCAAGCAAGCAAGCAAGCAAGCAAGCAAGCAAGCAAGCAAGCAAGCAAGCAAGCAAGCAAGCAAGCAAGCAAGCAAGCAAGCAAGCAAGCAAGCAAGCAAGCAAGCATCGCGTGAAATCCCCGTGCATGTTGATGCGTTCTCATATGGCCATGCCCTTATAAGCCCGTTAGGCATATGTCTCATAAACCCATTGGCCAACTCATAGCAACAAATCCTGTCGTTCTTGAAACCAGCTAGGCCACGTGGATAGTGCAGAAAGCCTGGGGCTGGGGCTTATTTTGCCAGACACTCGAGGCAAAGGACTCCCTTTTCCAGTGCCTGGACCTGCTGCTGCATCTCCAGATTTCTCCTGTGGGAACGGCGCTGCTCCTTCTTCTTCTTGAGGACCTGGAAGGCAATTCTCCGTTAAGTCGGGCGAATAGGCAAAAGGGGCGAGACCTTTCTGAACATGCTCGTAGATTGATTGCCGACCGAGCAAAAAACAGGCATGCCACGTATGACGACTGCGCGCTCGCACTCCCCGCATTTCCTCGGTTGGCCCCCCAAAAGGTGTCCTCTTCAAGCCAAGAAACTACTGGTAACAAAAGGAACCCAAAGAAAGCTAAGAGAAAGTTCTTTCGGAGGCTTAGATATCCCGAGGTCCTGGAGGAAACGGAACAGGAGCCTCCGATTCTCATTGTGCAGGATCTCTAGTGTCAATTTGCCCAGGTCAGTACGATTCACCAGCCCAAAACGGGAAATCACATAGAAAAGGGCCAGCCGTGCCTCCATGGCCAGCCTGTCTCTGTCCAGGGCAAGATGCCCCTTTAAAAACTCCCACGCCCCCCGTGTTTGGGGTAATTTACCCCTCACCCTGGTCAAATGAACTACCTATGGAGTCCCTGCTTTTTGTAGGTCACATGAGAGTCACATGTGAAGCCTGTTCATTTCAGCAGTTTGGCATTTCTCTTTCTAAAATCGTGGTCCCCATGTCCTCCCCCAATGCACCACAAAAAAAGCAAAGTACATAACATGATCCGTTGCTCACATGGAATGCCGAAACTGGACCAAGGGCATTTCGCTTTGAACTTAACCTGCTAAAGTTGCTAAAAAACGACTTCTGAACTGCTCTGGGCTCCACTCATAGATCCTGATCCACCCTTTTCACCGCTCTAGCTTTCCTCGCCGACTCTGCCGTCGCTTCCCGAGCCCAAGCCGAGCCTCGTTGTAAAGCCGGTCACGATAGTCCTGGGCTTGGCCCGACTCTGAAATGGGGAGGCTGTCATTCTGAGGGTGGGAGGAGTGCACAATTGCCTCTCTCACACACCAGGACTCCGTCCCAAAGCGAGAGGGGGCTTTGAGCCTCTGCCACTGGGGCCGGCTGTCGACCAAACGATACATGGTGTTTGGGTTGTACCCCCGACCAAAAGAAGAGTGAAGAATATATGAATAGACCAACCACCACCTAAGGACCTAGAAGGTCTTCCACAAAAGGGTGACTGCTCGTGGAACACGCATGCAGAAGCCTAACATACTGCTGACTGAGAGAAGAAACTTGAACACCTAGCACCTGTGCCTGGCCGTCCTGTACTGGCAGGAAGTTTAGCTTGTTTCACGCTAGCCACTGGACCAAAACATGTTGCAAACAAAGTGGATCAGGTCTAGGAACCCCAGATAGCATTCACCAATCGAAGGCAACAGTGACGAATCATCCATGGTCAACGCCCTGGCTAGTTAGTGGTTTAAACCACCACCCTCTGCCCCCACCCACCAGATCTCTCTCTAAAGCGTAGCGTCGCAAAGGCGCCAAAGAACCGGCGTGTGCCCACAAGAGGGTGTTCTTTCACCATTTCCCCTACAAAACCTCCGCCGGAATCTCCCCAAAGCCAGGTCCTCAGGTCCCCCAGTCCCCAACCCCCCACCTGCACGGTAAGCTTTGTGTTGTCATCGATGGGAATTCGGATTGTGCCTAGGTCGAAGCGACGCTTGACGGAACTTGGAAGTCCGGCACCCCCAAAAACCAGCTCATATATGATCTGATCAAGTAGCTCCCGGAATTATTCTCGAGAAGACACCGCTACATGGTTGCCCGAATCGGCCCACGAGGCTTGCTTTCTCACGGCATAGTGCGGCCTTTGCGGCAATGAATCTTGTGGCCCACAGCAACTTCTGGGTATCTTTTTCGGATGATGTCTCCAGGCGCACCAGGAAACCAACCATTTGCCGCGGGTCCCAGCATATGTACACTCCTGGAAATCCAAAGTGTATATTGCTTGTGATGGGCTGAGGAGCTGAGTTCGGTTCGGATTCATGTGTCTCATCACCAGCCTTCGTTTCAGACCATCCCAACGCTCCCCTCCTCAGTGTCCTCAAGCCAGCGCTGCCAAAAGGAGTAATTTAAGAAGGGTCCAGCACGGAGCAAATCCACGCAGGTGCTACCTTTAGGCCTTCACGAGTTCCGTTCCTAGCGATGTCAGGAATCTTGCCATTCCAAGCCCAAACCATGAGAAGAAAACAAGCTGGAGTGGCCCGCCGAGATTTCCTCAAAGCAATTCGACAAGAAACGCCTCCAACAGCCTCCAATCGCTCGAAGACTGCCAAAAAAAGGCGTGAACCTAGAGCCGCCTCACAAGCCTCAAAACGTAAAGGCCGTGTGGTTGCTGTTTGCATGGGAAACAAGTTGAAGACGACAACGGCGGAGTGTGTTCCCCAAGAGCAACGCAAAGGTCCCACCGACCGGCACGTCTCGGGCATCGCTGAAAGCCCCTGGCGGTCACAGTCGAACTCATCCTCGGGGTTGTGGAACTGCACCACATACCTCCCAAGAAATCTTCGAAATCGCCACGGACACTTCAACAGTGCAACCACCTTGTTAGGGTACTGGTTTAGGGTAGTGTGTTTCGGAGGGTATTGTTTGCCCACGTCTGATCCACGCATCGAAGATTCGAAAGAGTCGGATTTCATCGAATCATTGTGCCGCACGTTAACCATTAGATTCATCCAGGGCATACCTCCTTCCGCAACAAGCCAGCAAATGATATGGCGTCGTGCTGAGCGCACTTACCCAAAGCACCTGTGAGTGAAAGGTCAACCTTGTACAATGAAGACATATGGAGTAGGGTAAAACCCCAAACTCAAAAGGTCAGCTTTGGGCGAGTGCTTCCTTGATTGACCATGGCACTCTTTTGGCTTCACATCCTATGGATTCCTCTGGCGTTGTTGCCTCCTATCTCCCTTGTGGGCATACAACGGCACCCCTCAAAAAGAGTTCGGAATCTTTGCTACGTGCGGGAAAAAGAGCCGATCTTTGCTCAACCACAACAATTGGTTGATTGCCGTCCTCGACATGCAGCACCTGCCGGCGAGCGGAGCATCTTGCTTGCTTTCATTTGTTTCGGCTTGGATCCGATTTGCCGTCAGATCTGCTGGTACAGTTCCACAAAGAAGGACCAAACCCTTTCGTAGCCAGAGGGTCTTTCCAGGAGCGGACCAAGAAGGGAGGGACTAAATCCTTGAGCCATTGCGGCTTGCCATTTGCATCTTCCCCCACGGCGCACGGGTGGCGCAAGGCATCCTTCGCCGAGATGCGCTTGGTGGGGTTGAACCTCAATGCGACAGCACCCGGCTGATCAAAACCCTCTGATGTGGGTAGTTGAATCAATTGGGAACCCTTTGGCGGACATCACTTACATTGGGTTTTATGTCCACCAGTTTTTTTGTTTTTTCAAATGTCCACCATGTTTGAGCGTAATCTGTAGGAAAACTCCGTGCCATGTAGGAAACTCCCGCTAGTGCGCTGGAACACAAGAGCGTGGCACCTTACAGTACCAGAAGGCCGTGCGATGATGCTTGCTCCCCAGGCCATCCTTTCAACCGGTGGGAAACCACTCTGCGTGATTTTTCCCTCGACCTGCTCGCCTGTGGCGCGTTGATGCTGAATCTGCGAGTCCGTTTCAGCCCGAAAGGACCAGCAAAAAAACACCGGGGTGGCTTGGGTGCTCCACATTAAGTCCATTCAAAAAGCTGACGAAATGGTACTCCTTTTGCAACCGGGCTTAACAAGACGACAACGTCACCGGACGTGTTCTAATAGAGTCAAAGAGAACGTGGTTGTTTAAGGGGTAAACAAAATAAAGGAAGCAAGAGAACCCCTGAAAAGCCCCCAAAAACTGAAGGTGCAATTTTGGTCTTTTTGGGGCCAACCGTTGGCAGCACCTCCCACCCGCTCGCCACAAGCATAACTCACACACCGAACAAAACAAACAACACAACTCCCCCACCAGATTTGTTTCAATCGTGGCTTCCTTCCAAAGGAAAACATAGGTGGGCGGGTGTTCCAAGGGACGCCCGATGAGTTTTTCACGTTATGTTCGTCTCGACAAGGGACTCCCGTTGGTGTGAGCTGATCTGCCCGTAGGGAACCACTCGTCCAACATGGAAGCTGACAGGAGCGCTTGGAACAGCACCGCCCTCCTAGAAACGCCTGCTGTCCATGTGTATTCACCACTAAGATGGTATTCCCAGTGTCTCTTCTTTGGGCCCTTTTGGCCGGTTTTCAGGGGGAACCGAAAGGAAACCAACACCAGAGGTTGAAAAAGCGCCCCCAAATATGTTCCGCGAAACCCAGGTGGAGAGACGACGAACAGCTGCAGGGTCCCGGGCTGCAAGCAGAGGCGCAGCAGGTCGAGCGCTTCTACGCTGGCGGAGGGGAACATCTCGCTCAAGGGCCTGCAGGTCTTCGCCAAGCGGTGATAGGGGTACCTTCCATTTCCATTCTTTCCAGGGATCCTTCTTTTCAGGACCATCAAAACCCAGAAAAAACAGATCCGGTTTTCGAAAAGAACGATGGTTGAGAAGAATGGAAAAGGAATCAACCCGTAGAGTGATACTGCCCAGAGGGGACTTAAGGAACCCAAAAAACAAACGAGAACCAAAAAGTCCGAGATTCGAATCTCCTTGATCCGATCTTTCGGGGTTCCATGAGACATGGAAATCTCTTTTCTTTGGGGGGTCTTCATACAAGACATGATCTTAAGACCCCAGGTTCCAAGGGTTAGGTATGGATGTCCATGGGAAACATACCATTTGGTAAACATCAGCTATCCGTCTTGTCGGCTTCTCACCTGCTGACCCATCCTTCAAAATCTGTCAAACCCGTGGGGTGAGTGGACATGAATTGTCCTCGGACCCTTTGGTGGACAGTTGCCTCAATTGTTATGCCCACCAATCATTTGGCCAGATGCTTACGGCACCTTGCTCCTTCTGTGATACCGATTCGTAGTTGACTTCCATCCTTGTGACTTCTTTGTCGCTTCGAATTGCACACAGAGTCGCTGAAATTGGGCCTAAACCGCGGAAAATCACCAAGGAGATCCAACCAGATTGCTTCCTGGCTGCAGCCACATGAAAGGGCCCAAGTGAGTGGAAACTCCCCAACGAGCAAAAAAAGAGCCCAAATTTCATGTTGACCTGATGAATCATGGATGAGCCAAAAAGCAGCCATCCAAAACGGTCGGTTGCCTCCTTCACGCCAAACTGTCTGTTTCCCCCGCAAATAAGCAAAGCCGGAAAGGGGAGGGAGGGTAATCTTCGGGTGAGTATATATCATCACAGAAAAGCCAAAGAACACCCCGTGGAAAAAAAGGAAAGTGTCGCAAGAAGCATCCTCAGCAAAGAACATGGGTGTGGGGGAATTGGGGGAAGCATGAGCTCATGGCCATCAAAAGTCCAGGAATCCATGCCTTGAGCCCCTCCCAGGCCCATTCAAAAGGTGCTTCAGTGGTTCTTCGCAGGTCAAGTTGATAAGACCAAAGAAGCTTGACCAATGCCCCCATATCCCTTGGCCCGAGCTTGAGCTCAGAGCCGATCCCACGCGCCTGGGCCTGCTCATAGGCAGGGACTCCAGCATCGTGGCCTCAGCTTCGTTAAGGGCATCGGTTTCTGAGAGCCCCTGGCGTCCGTGTCAGCCGCGTATGGTGCACCTGCCCTGCACCGCGTTTTTCTGGGCAGGTGCGGAGCTGAAACCAAGATTGAGCCAGGCTGCAAACCCATAGGCAAAAACATGTTGGATCAATGCTAGGCCGATCCCGCGGAGGTGGTTGTCATACCACCATCCCACGGTTTCAACATCAACTCCTTGACGGGCTCCCTGCCTGGAGTGAGTTGCTGTGGTTGCAGTTCAAAGCAGTGCTGTCGATATTCGCCAAGCTCGGGCTGGAAAATGCCTCTTCCGGGCAGCTCGCTGCGCCGCGTCACTCGGCCCCCGCGCGGCGAAGGGGGACTTGATTGCGTCCACGTCCTCCGAGGTGGGGCGCCCCGTGACCTGAAAGGCGCTTCCGATCGATCGGCGTCGCACAGAACGGCGAGAAGCTGAAGGCCAGGGGAAAAGACTGCAACGAGAAAGATCGCCCAAATGCGGAGAGCTTCGGCGGCTGCACTTGTTTCTCTACGGACTCTTTCTTCCTCAAACCAACAGTGGACTATGGGTGTTTCCAAGCGAACCTATACAACTCTGGGTTTCTTTTTGGCTTCTTCGGCCAAGTGCAACCCCAACTTGTGGACACCAGTGAGCAAGGGAGTCGCCTCCATGATGCGGTCCAATTGGTTCATTGTGGAGGTTCCTGCGCGCCAGGTTCAGACGTTCAGGCAACGCACTCTTCGAACCCAAAGGACCCCCAACAAGTGTCAAGAGCAAAAGCTCATGGGCGGCAAATGACGAATGAACGACCACACCCCGGCCACAAGAAAGCGAGATCCTAGAAGAAAACCCCAAGGCCATTCCTGGAACCTTCTTGGAATGGGGTTCCTCCAGAACAACCAAGAAGTCAGTGGGCAACCAGTGACTTGCTCACCTACATGTTTTCTTCTCTAGGCCTTCTAGCTTGGCAGCTGCACTCGGTGAAACAAACTGTCCGGCAACTTGCTTCGAGGCCCATTCGGCGGCTCCGGTGCGATGTTTCGCAGCAAGCGGTGAAACTGTCGATCAGTCCCTGCCCTCAGACTTGTGCGATGGCCAGATCGCCTGGAAGATGCTGATGCAGACGCCAGGCAACACCCACTCCCGGATCCGCTGGCCGTTCCACTTTTCGGCTGGCTGTGTGCAGGTGAGTCGAATGACGTAGTATGCATCCACGAATATCGTGAGGAAAACATTGAGCAGGAAGAAGGTGAGAAGAAGATAGAGCGCCATGGTAGAGATCACTCCGACAACAAGATCTCTCTCGAGCACTTGCGGGTCCAGATTGCCCGCCAGCAGCTTCATGGTGGACATGGAAGTCTGCCCAAGACTCGAGAAGCCAAAGAGGTAGCGGCCAAACAAAGCAGTGGAGACCACAATGAAGCCTGCAAGAGATGGAACGAAAATGAGGGTGGTGAACGCAAACATCTTCAAGGCCTGACCAACAGCGCGCCAAATGAGATATACGCTGTGGCTGAGTCTAAAAAAGGTTATCATTCGATACATGAGGAAGATCATCGCGATGCCATCCAAGACGAACACCGTGTTGTACTCCCATGCCAGCTGACGCATGGAGGTGAACCCCAGAGTCCTGTCAGCGTCGTTCACTTTGGTCAGGAACTCGCTGGTGGGCTGGCTGTGGAAGGTGGCGCTGCGCCATATCAACGTGACGAACATGAATACCACGAGACCAAGGTCCATGATGCCTGCCAAGGAGGTGTGGTAGTTGAAGCCTGCCTTGTGGTTCCTGACCTTGTGCTGCCGCTCGGACCATCCTATGAAAATCAGAATGTAGATCCCGATGGCCACCCGGACGTAGTCAATGTACGTAAACCCAAGCTCTGCTCTCGTCTCGTAAATGCGTGGCTTGAACGGCTTCACTGAGAAGGATGGGAAAAGTTCCGCATCCGCAGGCATCTCTAGTATGAAGTCACTGGCAGTCCATTGATCGTAGTCGAAGTTGTAGGTAGTAAATGACAGCATTATGACCCGGGTCGAAGTGTCAATCCAACCAACAGATCGGAAGAAGGCCAAGTCCTGTCGAAATGTTTGCTTTGCATCATCAGCGTCGCTGACCGACATTCTGTAGTCAACGCTGTAACCACTGGGATCATACGATGCCACCCACCCATTGATCCAGCCAATGCCCTTTGCCTGGTTCTCCCCAACGGTTCTGAACTCTCCCGGGTTGGACAATCCGCGGACTGTGGCTTGCGCATCTGCTTGAGTTGTTGAGGTCTGATTCTTCCAATACGAGCTGAGCTCAGGATACACAGAAGTCTTTTGCGTTGAGGATGTCACAGTGCGCGGGTAGCATGATATGTTGGCTTCAGCATTGGCCAAGCCAATGTCAGTCACTAGGCGTGCATTGTTCACGCAGTATTCAGTTGTGGATGTGGGTGTCTTGACGTTCTGAATCCGAATGGAGAAATAGCCCAGCAGCACATTATATGTTTCCAATGTTGGGCTAGAAGCTCCCTCTTTCCAAAATAGTTCGGGAAGGGTGTAATTCATCCAGTCCCACATCTCTGTGTGTGTCTTGATCTCCTGAAAGCGGGGCACGCAAAGTGCGGGATCGTTGCAAGAGCTGACGCCAGGCCGAGGTGTAGAGATGGTGACCATATCTTCTATGCCTTTGGCGCACCAATATGCGTCGCCAGCCGGGCGCCGCATCATGTACCTTTGGAAGAAGAGGACCCCAGCAAAAACTATCTCTTTTGCCTGGTGAGTGGAAAACAAAGGGACCAAAAAAAGAAAGAAAGGGGGAGCTCATTCTGGGGAAGGGACACGGTCGCGGACAAAACCACCAGCGCCGTGTAGATCAACACGTTGCGAAGGTTGATCTTGGCGGCATGCTCTGACGGCTTGGTGTCCCGCAGCTTGAGCAGGAAGTACACGCCTCCCATCCTTCGCAGCTGGGAGGCGTAATTTTCCCCGAACTTCTGAATTTGCTCAACCCCCTTGGCGTTGTATCTGGGCCCCTGCTTGCGGCCAGCCCGTTTCTTGGTCTTCGGCTGAATGGCCTTCAGCTCCTCTTCAGTGGGTGGCTCGGCACTTTCTCGTCTCATTTCCAGGCGAAGCTGTGCAATCTCGCCCTGTTTGAAACAATCCTTGACTTTGTTGTCGTCCTGGCACTTGTTGTTGGCCATGGTCCGCAGAATAAAGTTGTCGGAGCTTACGCCCCAGTACTTGCAGGTGCTATTGCGCAACTGCGCAATGCTCGTTCCTGCATCAACTCGAAATGCAAGGTTGTACCGAAAGCTCTCGTTGGGCTTGACGAAAGACACCAAGACCGTATCCAGATTGAACTCTCCCACCTTGCCTTTGTGCTTCGGCTTGGTATACAGCACCTCGGTCAAGTATTCACGGATACGCTCTTCCTGTGTTTTCGCTTTGGTCTCGCGCTCCCTCTTCTCGCTTTTGTACTCCTCTGCAAACTTGTTGCGCTCAAGGTTCAGGCTCCTTTGGAGGCCTTCAACTTCTTCCCTCTTGGAGGCAAGATCGGCGTCCAGCATTTGCAGCTTCCTCATAAGCCGCTTCTCATAGTCAGCTGCTCGCTGCTGCTCATGCATCAGCTGGCGAATCTGCACCCTGGCAGCTTCCACGTCCTCCAGGTTGTCCGGATCCACGTCCATGTTTGGCTCGACATCATCGTCCTCCTCCTGTGTCGCGCTGTTGGCGATCATGAGGCTCGTGCAGCAACAAGCGGGTCAACGCTTGAGCCGAGTGACTCAGAATAGCAAAAGGTACTCAACGTACGAATCCTGTCGGCTCCCAGGCCGTGAATCGGAACCTTGCCCACAAATCCCTCTATACTGATTCAGAGCAAGGGGAGCCATGGAAGGGCTAGTAGGCTATTGCCCTTGGTCCTTAACTTTGGTGAATTCATGCTTCGCAGTCTCAACATCTGCCCTGGCTCCCGAAACCTCTGAATCCATGTGGATCCTCCTCGCGCACTTCGGCGGCTCCTGGGAAGATGGGCTTGCCCGAGAGGAGCTCCCCAAGGATGCAGCCCACGCTCCAGAGGTCCACGCCCTGAAGCCACACTCCGGTTTTCTAAGGCCAAGGTCCACGTGCCGAACAAACTCGCTTGATTCCAGGGGTTGATCCCTCCAGTGTTTTCTTCATGGACCCCTTTTCCAGGGGGTGGTTCCTTTTCCATTCTTTTCAACCATCGCTCTGTTCAAAAACCAGCATTTCCCCTGCAATTTTGATGGTTTCCTGAAAAGAAGGATCCCTGGAAAGAGTGAGGAAGGTACCCCTAGATTGATATGGTCTATGGAAGTGTCGTACTGTATATGAAAAATAGAAGCATGCGATGAGATGTACAAGTATTCTACATGGTTGCATAAGCAAGTTGCAAACCTGTGGGATATCTGCACTGAAGCCTCTGCGGAGTTACTAGGGCTGCATGAACGCCAACTTTTCAGGGCAACGCAGGGTTTCTAGCTAGTTCTGTCTGCCGTTCCCAAAGTCATCCAGGTGTTTAGAAATCAGAACACAAAGACGCAAAGACGGAACCTCTCTGGAATAGCGCAATACCTTTGGGATGTGTTTGCCGTGTACATCGCCACAAAATTGTGTCCAGTTGTCTAACTGTTTTCTCCCCCTCTCTCTCTCTCTCTCTTTTCTCTATTTCTCTCTTTCTCTCTTTCTCTCTCTCTCTCTCTCCTTTCTCTCTTTCTCTCTTTCTCTCTTTCTCTCTTTCTCTCTTTCTCTCTTTCTCTCTTTCTCTCTTTCTCTCTTTCTCTCTTTCTCTCTTTCTCTCTTTCTCTCTTTCTCTCTCTCTCTCTCTCTCTCTCTCTCTTTTCTCTATTGTCTCTCTTTTCTCTCTTGTCTCTCTTTTCTCTCTTTTCTCTCTTTTCTCTCTTTTCTCTCTTTCTCTCTTTCTCTCTTTCTCTCTTTCTCTCTTTCTCTATTTCTCTCTTTCTCTCTTTCTCTCTTTCTCTCTTTCTCTTTTTCTGTCTCTCTCTCTCTCTCTTTGTCACTCAGAAGAAAAAATCAGAATAGCTGTGACACTAGCGTCAAAAATGCATGCCCAATGAATAGAGGTAGTCACTACGGAGGAAGTCATGAACTGAGTTGAGGCATCGAGCAGGTCCCTAATTTCAGCGCTCCTCTATGGGCAAATCGAGGACTAGCCAGTCCAAACCAAACTTCAAACGGGACACTTTCGTCTCCCAAGAATGAACTGCCTTCGGACACAGCAATTCGCCTGCAAACCAAGAAACATGTGGCTGTGGCTCAAAAAAGTGTACCCAAAATGGCCCCTAGGTAAATGGAAACAAAGGCCAACATGCGTAACCCTGGCTCTTAAATTTTGAGCCACACCCATGTACAGAGAAACTCCCCAGTTGACCGCCCACGACTGAGGGTAGCTTTCAGAGGTGCACTTCCGAGAGAGAGCGCCTTGGTATATGACGTGGACCCCAGCAGGATCTCCGGCGCTCGGTACCTGAAATGGCGCAAGAGGGCCTATGACCCCAATCCTAGAGCGTTTCTGTAGGTCTTAGGTCACTATCCCGACACATGCATTCGATGAGCAAACCCTGGAGGTGGGGCTGGTTGTTCCTTTGAACTCCCTTGGCGTTTGGTGCCCTTGGGCGCTAGACCAGGTTTCAGTGCTTCCGGTGTGTGGCATTGGCGAAGAACAGTGATTTGCTTTTGGGTCGAAAGCATGCAGCATGGAAAGAAGGAACTCAACAGCTGTATCCTGCAGAGCTATCGGTCGTTGTCTCGTTGGAGGTAGGGGAAGACAGCCCCGGCAAAGCACGCAGGTTTGGAATTTGGATGGACCATCAGCCAAGGGGTCTTCCGCAAGACCCCCAGCCAAAGAAACTTCAAGGGGATTCAAAGATGTGATTTCCAAAAGAGCCGGGTTACCCCAACCGAATGGTCGCCAATAATCGTTGAAAGCCGGGACTGAAGCTGATTCAGCGGTGAGCTGTGAAACGGTCAGGCCACTCGACCCCAAGTTGCAGAGGTTGCCCATGAAAATCGCAACGTCCCGTCCCAAACCAAAGGAACCATGGCTGAGCCAAAAAAAAGCAGAAAGGAACCAGGTGAAGGGCGCCGAAGTTCGAGCTCAGGGATCAACCTCTCAGCTCCCAAATGGCAAAGGCCGCTTGCTGGCATCTCCTGCGCCTGCATTTCGCCCGGCGTAGGCGCGCCAATCGCCCACCAAATGAGCTGTGTTAGCCAAGCTTCCGGTAGTGCTTGTTTTCTTGCACTAGAGGAACAGCTCTGCGTGTTCTGTTCAAGAATCTGGAAGGTAGATCTGGACTTTTTGGTCCGAGCACCTCGGTGCAACGCTGTGCAAGTATGTTTCGGCAACACTAGCCGTCCAAACATCACCTGTTATTCAAAAGGGAATCCTCTCAATCAGTGTCAAATTGAGTGATTCTTCCATTTGATCATGTCAACCACACCCTGGTCAGGATGGTCAGGGTGAAACTCTTTTGCCCACCCGCCGCTGTTTGTCACTTTTCCTCGCGCTCGCCTGTCACCTTCCACTTGCCGCACGGCTCACAAGTTGGGCCGTGCATGCCAGTGAGCGCCGAGAGCGTTCGAGGGATTTGTGTTACATGAGGCAGGGTTTTCTCGGACTCATTGAGCGGCTGGAGGAATCTGTGCTCGCGCGAGGGTTTCCGAGACGAATGGAAAGCCAGGACCAAAGGTTTTCCAACCACCGTCTCCCTCCGAACAGGTTGAATGCGTAGGAGTATCGTGCAAAAAACCAAATGTCCGCCTATCCCACATGTGCCCGCTTTGGCACAAAAAGTTGCATTGGCTACGCACGTCTCTCGGAGTAGGGTCCTGGTCGGGATCAAATCCGCCCGCTCGATCCGCCCGCTCCGGACATCCGGCTCTTGCCTCACTCCAAAGCCTTCTCGGCGTGACAGTCCTCGCAAAGGTCGTAGCCTCGTTGCGCGCTTGGAAAAACTGGATCCAAAGTGGCCTCGGTTTTTGGAGGTTCTCTTAGCTTCAACGTCACAACCATTCAAGGATAATCAATCTTGGTTGATGTTGCTTGAATATCAACTTTTCAAGGGCAATTCTGAGGACGTCCCTTCAATGAGCCTAGTCTTAGCTCACACCCTGACAACGACCTTAGCCTTAGCTCATGTAGAAGTGTGCTGAGCTACGGCGCCCTCAACCTGTATCGTGAACAAGGACGATCAAAACATCGATGCAGTGGACCTCCTCGTCAGCAACAGCTTGGCTGTTTCCTGCTGCAATGGCTTCAGGTGAAGTCGCGAAAAACCGCGGCTTCACCGACATAGCATCGGAAGTGAGGTTGGAAGCAGTTTCACGCAAAGACAGGAACACCCCTCCCCACCCAGCCCCATGCCGCCGGCAGCACGAGCTTCAGCTAGATCACTACAAAACAAAGAGCGCGCACAAATGTGGCTAAAATGCGGAATGCGCTCTGTTGGCTTTTGGATTTGGACAGAGACCCAGGCTGCCAGGAGCTTCGATTCTTGTTGACTTGCTACATCTGGCCTGGAGGACGGTGGCCTCTTCTTTGCTGAGTTGAACGCGGTTTACATCCTTTGACTTGTCCTTCGAGCTTTTGGCGAAATGCAACCCGGGACTTAGCCTGGGACAATCGTAGACAGTGGCGTTGCACTTTTTGAATGCTGACCCTTTTGAGCATGAGCAAGTTCCAGCGAACTCTCTAATCACGTGACAGCATCAATTCTGCCAGTCTCAAATCTGGTCGTAGCCTTCGGTCCGCAAAGCAGCTTTTACAAAATCTATGCGAAGGGCGGCAATTGGCGTGCCTTCAAATAAGAGATATCCGAATGGGTGGGTTCCTTGTGGTTTGCCTTTCGAACTCCTCAAAAACAGGCTTCCCTCGGATACACATGAGGCTCAATCTCTGTTGAAAGGAACACCTGCTCGTTCTGACACACCCTAGCTCCCCCAACTACCCAAGGCAGACTGATTGATAGTAATCCTCATCCGGGTCAACCACAACCTTCATCGGCTTCGCGAATATCCTCCTGCACATGTGTTGCAGCGGCTGAAAAAAATACACCAGCCTCGACCCCAAACAGCAAAAAAGCATGACCGGTCTGTATAGCCAAAAAAAAGGCTTGTGTCCTTCATGTAAGGTGCGAACTTGTGTAGCTTATGTGAGCAACACATATATAGTTACAATCAGTCCATGTATGTCCCTGCAGGAAGTCCCCTTTTTCGGGAAGAGGGCACAGCGGGTCCATCCATCTCCTTGACGCCGGGTAAAAGCATCAATGTTGTTCATCGACTTCGAGGAGAACATTTTATGTTAATGCCATGTTCGAGAGTGAAGGCCCCGGGTCAATCAACCTAACACCTGGCATTAATCAAAGGAAATTTCGAAGGAACTTTCGTAGTACGGACACTCAATGCACTTTTCCATCACCGCAGCATTTGGTGGCCGTCTCGCTACTCTGAAACTTGCGCATCAGTCTCAGCAGCCTGCGGCCGAGACTGGACACATGTCACTTCTGGTTGCTATCTTCTTCTCGAGCTCGGCTAAAGGTCTTGCCACAAGCAAAGCAAGAGAGCACCTGCATAAACTTGCAGACTGCGCCTTGTAGCGTTCCGGCCGGGACATCCTCGCCTAGCAACGCAGACACGCGCCGCGCCAAATTGGCAAGCGTCAGCAAAGGTGCCCGTTTGGCGCGCACCTCTGTCACCCGGCGCAGCTCCAGAAAATCCTCAGTGTGTGAGCCGGCAGTAGCTTGGTCATCCAAGGTCTTCATCTCTGTCGTGTCCAGCGCGCCGCATGCTCCCAAGATGGCCAACGCATGGCTTTGCTCCATGCGCCCAACGCCGCTCCATTCCGGAACAAGCTTGGCTTCGAATGTCAGCTCCAGCCCTGCTCCATCGCGGAAACGTGTGAGAACTTTGCCCCAACTTACCAATGCTGGCTGCACAGTGGACACCACCAGCTTGGCCGGGTTCATCTTGGAGTTGGCGCTTATGGACTTATGGTTCTCAGATTGGTGTTCACATGTGTGGTGAACGACCAGCCCTTGCGTTCACTCAGCTCCAGCAGCACAGTAATCAACTGGCCGGGTTCATGAACTCTTTCCAAGTTGTCAAGGTCAGCGAAGTAGGTTGCCAGGAAAGGCTCCTATGCATCAACCAAGTTTTTCGAGGAGAACTCGACAAGTGCAGGGGCGATGCGAACAACTCTTACAAGCTAATGGTTTGGTTGGGGACCCGACTCACCCAGGCTTTACTTCCAGGACCATTCTTTCTGGAAACCGGTCAGAACAAACTTTGGAGCTCGGACCATGCAACAAGATGATAAGCACGCCTGCTTGACTGTGTGTTCGCTCGTCCCTCTCTGCGATAGCACCAGATCTCCAAGAGCAAGTAACCGGGAAACCGCCAAGCCGCTCTGCGATTGGCGAAACGGCTCTTGTTGATGGCCCCAAAAAGAAACCATCAAACACGGCGGCGGCGTTAGCAACTCTTATTAGATTATACAGCCACCGAACATGTGTCCAAACATGGCCATGACCGTGTGTCCTTGTTGCAATCACCACATTGAGCACCAGAGCCGCCATTCCGTAATGTTGCTGGGAGTTCGCCACGCACGCAGAGTGTCCAGCAGCACCGAAACCTTTTGCTTGAACGGGTAGGAATTGATGTAGTGGAGGCGAAGCCGTGTCGCCAAAGAAGAAATGGATGGACCATGTCTGTAGCGTGTGTTGGTCTTGATGCCTCCAGCTGGGTTTCAATACAGACACATTTAAGGCTCGACAGGGCTCTGCTGATGCGCCACGACCAAGAAGTGTGGCACTGGCTTCCGCAAAGCAGCTCAGAATTCTGAGAAAAGCAATCAGGCGGATGCCACGGTATTTGTTTATCGAGAACAACAGTACATACTTAAGGCTCAGCAGGGCTCTGCTTCTGATGCGCCAGGGCGCAAACCTGCATTTGACAAACAAGTGCGGCGCTTCCAAAAACTCAGAACCCTGAGCAAAGAAATTGCTCATCGAGAACAAAATGGACACATTTAAGGCTCGACAGGGCCCTGCTGATGCGCCACACAAGGATGCAAACTTGCACTTGACCAAGAAGTGCGGCAATGGCTTCCAAAAAACAGCTCAGAATCCTGAGCAAAGCAATCAGGCGGATGTGTATTTGGTTACCGAGAACAAAATGGACACATTTAAGGCTCGACAGGGCTCTGCTGATGCGCCACAAGGATGCAAACCTGCGCTTGGCCAAGAAGTGCGGCGCTGGCTTCCACAAAGCAGCTCAGTATCAGCCGGATGTCACGGCTGCAAACCTGCACTTGACCAAGCATTTAAGGCTCGACAGAGCTCAGCTGATGCGCCACACAAACTTGCACTTGACCAAGAAGTGCGGCACTGGCTTCCAAAAAGCAGCTCAGTATCAGCCAGATTCAGATTTGTCTATTGAAACCAGTCTACAGATTTAAGGCTCGACAGG